TTCTAACAGATTACTGATGGGTTTAATTGAGAGGTCAGGTAAGTGTTCTTGGTAAAAAGAATTGGCAATGGTGGTTACCTGGGACCCTGAATCCAGTAAACAATTACATTCAACACTGTTAACTGAGACTGTAGCTGTGCATCGCCCACCCACTAATCTTTTGGGAAGTTTTGGCACTGAATGAGCATGAACTGGCTTGCAAAAAAGTCTCTCTGTCCTTTCCTTAGAGGGACTTGGTTCTACTTTAGCACCTATCTGTCCCACGATAGGAGCTTCTACCGGTTTAAAGGAGGAGACTGAGCAATTGGCTTTGACATCTCCCACTCGCGCTGCTTCTGTCTAAGAGCAAGTCGTTTAGTTGCAACTAGTGCTGGATTTGGCTCGTTGCTACAGCTAGAAGCTATGTGCCCATCTTCTCCGCACTTAAAACAGTATCCAGGCTTTGGTCTGGGCACCACTGCTGTTATCTGCTGAATCTGTTTGGGCTCATCTGGAATTTTAGTCCCCACACGGGGTTTTGACTCTTTTTGAGTTTTCTTTGCCTTTTTATCTGTGTTGTTAACCTTAAGCTGTGCAATTTGGCTCCTGAGCTCAGCGATTTGTTTGCGTAAGTCATCACAGTTATCATCTATTTCCAGTTCACAAGTGTTTTTACTCTGAGAGCATGTTGTTTGCACATTTGAATACACTCTAGTTCGTTGTGCCCCTAAGTGTTGTTTCATGCGTGCTGCTTTAGTAGCCTGTTTGTCTTCTTCAGTGCGCAGTTTGAGGAGAAGTGCTGTAAAATGAGGCGGGTTGTCTTTCTTTTGTTCGAGTTGCAGGTTTGAAATCAGCGAGCTGTCCCAACAGCCTCTGCAAAACTGCTTGAGCAGCTGCTGGTCGGCGTCACTGGAGGAAATTCCATTCCTCTGAATAACTAGGGTTAACAAGGTGTATAACCTCTGAAAGTAATCGGAAGGTTTTTCACCACTGTCCTGGTTTGTGTTTAAGAAGCGAGCAAAGAGCTCGTCGCCGTCTTCGACAGCTGCGTAAGCTGAATCGAGATGTTCAAGGTACGTTTCCGGGTCGGATTTTGGACTAAGAGCTTTAACGATGCTCGCTGCTGGGGCTGACAGACTCTCCACGATTCTTCGTACAATTTGGGACTTGGTGAGTGAAGGATCATTTATGCATAACACTACACTACTACGCCAAGTATCATAGTCAGTTTCAAAAGAAGGGTGTGGAACTCGCCCTGAGAACGGTTTTAGTCTGTATTGTGAAGTAGGCGGAGGGATAACCTCACTGCTTTTAACAATGTGTTCCACAATAACTCGCTGAACCTCAGGTGTGTTTAAAAGATTTGGTGGAATGCAAGGGTTTTGTTTTCCAGTCTCTGTAGGTGGACAATTGTCCTTTGAGTTGTTCATATAGTTAACTTCTGGTGTTAAAGGCAGGGAATATGTAACTTGGTCACTATGGAGCATTGGCTCTGGTTCAGTGACTGGTTCAGATGCATGGGTATCCCTTCCTAAAGATTCCCCAATTTTTGCCAGTTCCTCCATTAGAAGGTCTTTAAATGATTGATTGCTACGCGCAGCTATGTCCCTGAGCTCTGACAGATAGGCATCAGTGGCAGATGTGCTAGTTTCTAGACTGTACGCGCTGGCTAGGTCTTGAATATGGAAGAAAACATCTGGGTTCCTAGTACAAGGTTTGTCATAGGGTAAACATTGTTTCTTTAATTCCTTAACAGTGGCTTCATGTTGAAACTCCACAATAATCTGATCACAGTTTGGTAACTTAATGCGCCTGTTAACTGGTCCGAATCCTTCCATAAACCCAAAGACTTCGTTATCAAGGTCTGTATCAGTTAACCCACTGATTAAAACAGCATTTGAAACTTTGACCTTTTCTGTTTTCACAACTTCCATTTTAAAACACTCAAAAGTACCAATAATGCCAAAATGGCAAACCACTGTGACCTCCAGGCACTCTTATGATGTCAGTCAATGGTTAGCTAAGGTAACAACTCTACAATTCTCCTGGCTGGCTCGCCAAGTTTTATGTAACCGGATTACAGGATACAATAAGATAATTAAAAGAAAAAATAAACAAATGGGCCAATAATTAGGTTCGGGGAGAATTGGAGGTTGTTTAAGAATGACTGGAGTCACGGGTATAGCATGAAACGGTTTATATACTAAATTTTAATAATAATGGGAAATATAACACATAAAGATAACACACAAAAACAGATGAAAACAATCGACAATAGTAAATTGGTCGGTATGAGATTTGATCATATGAGTCACAAGTCAGCCGGCGTCAAGTCAAATCCCCACGCTTGGGGTGAAAGTCAGAGTCCGGTGGTGCGATTTTTTCCTACCACACCGTTGAGATTGTTCACAGAAGAGAGCAGTCTGCTCTTCAGTTACTTGAGATGTCCTGGTTCGTTCAGTGGTTAAGGCTCGCCATCTCCCTCGTCAGGAAGAAATCCAGTTCTCGTTCCAAGTGAGTGATCATAGGAGTCGGGATCAAACCCAAGGAAAAAAAAAACCCAGCCAACGCGCTCCAACGGTTCCCTCCTACAGAGGATTGGTTCACTCTGTCGTCTCCACACAAATCGCGTTGGTTCCAAGTTCCTAGCTCTTATTAGAAGGAGTCAAGTCCGCCTCTCCCTCTATCTATGCGGCACCCAAATCAGGGTTCTTCACGGCCTCGACCGTTGTTTTTTTTTCTCTCTCTCTCTCTCTCTAACCGCTCAGTCTTTGCTTTCTGTATCTGCGTGCTGCACAGCCGTTTGTCTCTCCTCTCGCTCAGCTGCGTCGCACGGTTTTATTTCGCGGAGGCGGGACTTATTTCTCTCAGCCAATGAAATTTCAGATTCCCACCTGGACCAATAGTATACAGCTTTCCTCTTCTGTTTCTGTTAGGGATGTTCAAGATTCTTGTTTTAACCGATGTTTAATATTAAACTCGTTATTTTAGTTATTCACCCTTCCAATAATTCATTATGAAATTATCTATTAGTTAATTAGATATCTATTAATTAGTATTGTTAATTTCCTTAATTTATATTTTATATTTTATCTAAATTGAGGATGGATCATATTAGTAAGCCAATTAGTTAATACCTCATTAAGGTTCTAGCTTCTGGGTTACACTTACAGATAAAATGAAACCCATTCTGAAAAGCTGACAAAAATTCCCACTTTTTGGAATATAATGTGTTTCGGTATGTTTCGGTATTCCAAACGGTCTGGGTGTTGGAAAGAGTTGTTTCCAGAAAATGTGAAGGTCAAAAGTTAGAGTGCGGAATTTTCAGTTTAGAGTGGTGAGAGACATTTTTTTTATTTAAATATTCTCAAACAAATGAACCGTACGACCACAATGTTTGGAGTACATTCAAGATTTATAGCTCAAAACGAAGGTATATCCGTTAGCTGCAAGCCAGCGTGCGTCTCATTTCAATCGGATGTACGGTTTTCTCAGCACAATGCCAGAAATGGAGCAAAAGAGGGTCACTGCTAGGGCTGCTCAATTAATCGAATTTTAATCACGATTACGATCTGAGTTTTGAACGATTATAAAAAACAAAACAAGCCGATTATTTGCTCCTCCCGCCTGCGCTGCGCCGAGTTGCAAATGAAGCGCTCCTCCCACAGTGTTGCCAACTTAGTGACTGTGACGCTATTTCTAGCAGCTTTTCAGACCCCCTTCTTGACTTTTTAACTTAAAAGTACCTAGCGAACACCTCAGAAACATCTCTGGTAACCCTTAGCTACTTTCTGGATAACTGTCGTCGACATTTCCTGCAGGTTAGCTAAACACTCCGCCTGCTCTCCGGACCGTTCTTCAGGACATTAGGAAAGGGAATGATGTAGTGATGTGTCGGTCGCTAAAGACAGCTCTCGGAGCCGGCTCCCTGTTGGATTAACCAGAGTGAGTGACACACACACCGCACCTGCGGACTCCTGAGCCACTAAAACGGCTAAATGTGCGCGTGCAGCGTGCTAAACACACGAGCAGCTTGCCCTGATTGCTGTGAGACCGGGTTGGGGGTGGGGGGTGCAGCTGTGGTTGGGACAATTATTACATTAATTGATGGACTTGTAAATAAATAGTTTATAAATAAGGTAGAAATAAGTTCCTCACGCTGATAAATAATAACTAATCTCTCTGAGGACACGGTGCTAGTGCACTCTCCAGCAGCACATTGACACGACTAAATACGTATTATGCAACATTTTGTGAACATCAATTTATTTGCATGTATTTGTTATAAATGCCACTGTATAATTCTTGCTGTCAGTATTTGCAAGATATTGGTATTTGGGTCTGTACTGTTAGACTTAAATGAGTTAAACCAAGGTCTATAGACCTTGGGTCATAAACTATGAGCTATAAGTATATTGGTCTTTTTATACTGGGAATCAGGAGTTATTTTAGTGATCATCTTGTTTCTTATTTTTGTCCTGATTGTGCCCTGAGCAATTTTATGACTGAATAAAAACAAATAAAATCAACATAAATTGAAAAATCGTCCTAAATAATCGTGATCTCAATTTCAGTCACCATAATCGTGATTATTATTTTTGCCATAATCGAGCAGCCCTAGTCACTGCTCCTATCCTGATCATTATAATTTTTGAGATTTTTTCTGAAAATCTCAAGCCGTACCTCAACTTCTACCTGTGATTTTAGAAAAACTGTAATAGATATGTAAAAGATTTTTTAACCAGTAATAGCTGAAAGTCTTGTGAGTTTGTTGAAACTTGAATTAAGTCTCTAGGTTAAAGTGAAACTATAAGAGTAAGAGTTCAAATAAGATGTGTTAAATCAGCTTTTCTTAGATCTAACCCTTTCTCCCCTCCATTACTTCACTAATTTACATCGAAAAGCAGCTCAGAGACAGCACAGGCTTTTTGGTCGGCTACATTAGACAACCCAAACTGCCTATACTCAACAAAAACATGAAGTTTTGAATTCTAGAACCACCTTAAACACAGCGGGTTTACCTTTTGAAGTACTCAACTTCCCGATCAATCTCGTCCATTTCTGTTGGATCCACATCTTTTGGAAGAAATACGTCATCTAGGAATGAAAGTAAAGAGTTAAATTAAAATGAAAACTACTAGGATTTTGTGAAGCCATGCACATCTCCCTATCCTCAGAGTTTTAAGTTATGTTTAAGAAAGATAAGAGTTGAGCCTGAGTCATGCTTCTCCGTCCGCGTCAGTGCGGAGACACGCAACGCCATTATCCGTCCTTGCGTAGGGTCCCGGCAGGCACGCAAGTACGTACGGAGTCAAGACTACTTTTTTAAACATCCGTCCGTCGAGACAGAGAACGCAAGCATGTGATTGGTCAGGACGCCAATGTCGTCTACACCGCCGCCATTGCGCCCTCAAAAACATAGAGAGCCGAAGATAACTAGCGGCAGACACGGAGGATCTTGAAGAATACCTCGTGAAAAAACACTAAAATATGAACGTTTAATTCCCTGTGACTGGATGAGTGAAAAGATAAGCAGCAAGCATTTTATCTGTGGGCAGAAACGTGGGTTTAGAGGTGGCAAGCGCATGAAGAGGTGGAGGAGAATGAGAGACAATTTTGTCCGTGTTAAAAAGTCTCTTATATACACAAAAAACACAATATAAACACACTATCTTGGACCGGATACATGACAGGACACCACAGAACTGTGCTATGCCCTCTGCTGTCCTGGTGGGGAATTGCTTTGCAACACTCCCCATGAGATGGGAGAAGTATGAGAGCAAAACGCTTCCATCAAATCTGCTGCATTCCACACAGTCACTGCAGAGTAGGTGGTGTTAAGGACACTCACATTCTCTCTAATGAAACTTTACCGTTTCAGCATTAAACAAACTGACCAGAGCAGAAAACTTGTTTATAACAGTAGTGTTGTTTTTGACGGGCTTTTTAGTTTTAGTCTTCATCAGTTTCAGTCGACTTAAATTCAAAAAGGGTTTTGTTGACCAATTTTTTTTTTCTATTTTACAACAAATGAAACAGTTTGTTTTTAACAAATGAATTTATACGTCAGACGTTAGTTTCATTCCAACATCATTTATTATAGGGCTATGGGACACAGGCTTAGCTGCCCCAGGTGTAAAACAACAACCTCCAGACTGGCATCATTTTACGGTTTATCATTTATTGTTGCAGATCTGTGCAGTGTTGCGAGTTTTAACGACCCCACAGAATTAATATAAATAACCCAGTTCTGCTCTTTTCTGCTCGTAAACATTTAGATGTGCTTCAACTGTTAAGTTGTTGGTTTAAAGAGCAGGAATCTGAGCTGATTTTAGGAACAAGGGAGCAGAGAAAACAATCCTGACACATTTGTCTTAAATGTGTTAACATTTCCTTTCTGCTCAAAATCAGGACTTTTTCAGGAACACAGATAAGAAACATCTTAATATAAAGAATACTTTTAAAAGTAGCCTCGTCACTCGTAATTTTAATTATTTACATCCTCGATAAGTGGCAGTGAGCGGCTGAGCGCCGTACGTTCCCACGGCAGGGAAGGGCTGAGCAGAGCGCACGTTGCTGCTGGGTCAGAGACCACAGCAGCGCGGTTACTTCTGGCTTTTGTGAGACAGGCAGAAAAGTGATTTTAACAGTTTTTCTTTTAGACTCGTCAACAAAAACTCCTGCATGTCGTCATGTTTTGATCACCAAATAACTATTTTTTGCTCATTAGCATGTCGTTTTTGTTAAAAAAAAAGGGGGTGTCAACAAAGTCTATTTGTCATCGTTATTGAAAACAACACTGCATGATAGAAACATTGCATGATAGAAACATTTTCATACCAATAGCACTGCTGGACTTTTCTCCCTTATTCCTGTTCTTCTTGTTTTTCCCCTTGGACTGCTGCTGGTGAGGTCCATTTGCAGGAACGCTGGGATGAGCTTTGCTTTCTGATTCCTGCTCAAACCGACTACCGCCTCCTCCTCCTCGGGTCTCTGTATCAAATTTTCCTCTTTGCACACCAGAGGAGGCCCCATTTGCTGCGTGTGTTGCCTGTTTGGATGATCTGACCTCCTCAGTTTTCTTAGGCCCGTTCCTCTGGCTGTCTGCAGAAATCTGAGGTTGTTTGTTTCCAGACTTCAAGTTATTAGATGCCCCTTCTTTAGACTCATTGGCTTTCTGTGCTTCGTTTACAGAGGCGGCTTTGGTCAGTTTGTTTGAATTCTGCTCTAACACAGTTTGCTCCTGTCTCTGCTGCTTTTTAGTCTTCTTTGACTTTGCACCACCATTCCCAGCTGCTGCGCTCTTGGGATCGGTGGTATCCTCCTTTGTTTTAGCTGTTGTTTGAGCTGGCACCTGCAGCAAACTGTCAGGTCCAGTGGAAGTGCATTGTTCAGGAGAGTGAGCTCTTATGAGCTTTGAGAGTCCGCTAGTAGTGTGCAACCGCTGGGTGTCCTTAGAGGCAGCATTGAGCCCCAATGAAGTGTTGGTGACAGAGTTTGCGGGTGGGGCAACGTTTGTGTCCTCCCATCCATTAACCAAGTCCAGGTGGTTTTTAAAGGTTCCTAGAGAAAGAGGAGAGAGGTCCAGGTCTATCTGCTGCATGTCAGAGGAACCATTAAGGTGGGACAGTAAATGGTTCCCCTCCAACGTGGCTGCCTTTTTTGGGAAATCATTGACGTCCAGATTGAGGTCGTACATGCTAAATGAGGCCCGGATCGAGTCTTTGATGGTGTTCTTGATCTCTTCTAGTCGACTCGTGAGGAAACTGTTGACCCGTTCAAGCTCCAGCTGAGGCCAGTCGAGGAGCCGGCTGGCTTCTGGACCATCGGGAATGGGCTCGTCCACTGTGTCGTCAGCAGGACTGGTCTGGGCTTCACTGCCTGCAGCGCCCAAGTTGTTCTGCTGAGCTTTTTCCTGCAACAGGAAGGGCACATATTCAGAAACAGAGTGAGAAATGTTACAAACCCATACAGAAATGAGTGAAAACAATATCTAAAGGTTATGTTCATGTGAAGAGTCGGGCTGGGCGATGTGGCCTAAAATCAATATCACGATATATTGAGGATTTCACCTCGATAACGATAAATGGACGATGACTACAGTTATGCGCAGAAACCAACATTGTCCACTAGATGGGGCTGTCACATGTATTACAATGAGTCTCATTTTTACACGACCCAAAGTTGTACAGCTTCTTAAAGGGACATGAACGTTGCAAATCCACACACATCTTTTTATTTTGTTATATCAACTTCATTGACATGAGAAAAATTATCTCGATAAGAGTCAGAAAATTTCGATAATGATACATTTTCTTTTTATTGCCTAGCCCTAGTGATGAGTGTATTCCTGCAGCATCAAAGACTTCCAGCTGTTTGCAGTTTAACAGCCGTTTTAAAATCATGAGCTTTTAGATTTAAGCTAATTTTTCTACATTTAGCAACCTCTTGATCTTTTACCGACCTTCTTCTTCTGTTTGTGTCGAGCTCGTTTGGCAGCTTTGGCACTGTTGACAGGTTTGGGCTCGGAGCTGTTGATGAAGTCTAGCAGCTCGTCCACGTCCCTGTTGTCAATGGCACCAGACGCCATCAGTTCTGAGTCTTGGCGCTGAGGCAGCTCCTCTTTACGCCGGGTCAGACGCGAGCGAAGCTTCTCTCGGATCTCGGCGTAGTTTCGGCTAGTCGGTGCAGCTGGAGGCTGTAAACAGTCAACACTTAACAGCTAAGTCCAGTTTTACCCATGGGTTTGTTAACTTAAGACTGCTTTTGAAAACAAAAAGTACCGCATTGTGTCCGAAGAATTCGCAGTAGCAGCAGTCGCAGTACTTCCCGTCCTTCTGGTTGGTGGATGAGGAGGCGCAGGAGCTCCTTTCAGAGCTGCTGTCTTCATCCTCCCCCTCCTCCAGCTCAGATGAAGGGTGACACAGCATCCCGTTTGTCACTTTATGTCCCTTACACGCCTGATCCCTGCAGAGAAAGAACAGATTTTTCTCAAGATTAACCCTCAGATGTTTTCAAAGGATTGACAAAAGCCTCACTGAGGCATCAGCACTGACCTGCAGGCTCCAGCTGTTAAATGTCCCAAATTCGAATTGGCCACATTTCCTTGGCTGTGTCCGTTACAGGAGTGGCTGCAGCCCATTAGAGACGTTCCCACTCTGTTGTGTTGCATGTTCACAGCAGGAATGTGGGAGTTTTTGCACGGGCTGGGCTTATGGACAGATGTTGGGCTGTCTGGACTCGGTGAGCTGAGTTTGGCTGCGGGGCTGTGGAGGTTTGGTACCAGCGGCGAGAAAGAAGCATGAGCTGCCACAGCAGCACCACAGGAGGAGGAGGTGGCAGAAGAGGAGGAGGAGGTTACGTGACCATGCTGCCCAGAGTTCGGCTTTGGAGGCAGGAGGGAGGAATGCTGCGACGAAAGGCCCGTGGGACTGTTGGGGGGAACCGACAAGTCTGTGTGTTGATGGTGATCGTTGGGATGAAAGGCTTCACCTGGATAATAGAAGATATTAAAAGAAATGCATTCTGGGACTCCCTTACAGAATTTTAAACCGTTAATTTAGAAAAAAAAATGCTTTGATTTCAAATGAGCTCTGGTTTTCTTGCCTGTAGTGGATCTCCTCCTGGTGCCGTTTTAGTTGAAAATTAAACAGTTGCTGGAAATAACAGGACTGTTACTTTAAGTAAACAGTAAATCTGTTATTAGAGGCCGGCTGATATATCAGTCGATAAATCTGGCCGATATACTCAAATTGTTCTATTTTGGCCAACTGCCAAAAATATTTTTAAAAGCTGATACACAAAATAAAAATCAGGCACCTGTTTGGCCAACTGTCGCCACTACTAGACAGAAGAAAGGACCCGAATGACCCCAACACACCGTGAGCCAGCCCACTCAACAGCGCTGTGCTTCAGCTCACCTATAAACGGTAAGATTTCTTTCCTCATCTTTACAAGAAAGAACATGCAGTGTTGATTAGCTTTTAAAATGTATTTATCGAGTGGTCATCAAACTCGTCACGTAACCCGTTTAGCATTCTAGTACTAGGAATGAAACATGTTAGCTTCAGATGCTAGTTTGTTTAGCACTCGCAAGCACCGGCGTGATTAAATTTACTGGGGTTTGTTAGTAAAATCAAGTCATGAAGGCATAAACGAAAGATTAAAAATTGCAAAACATTAGTTGGGCATTGATTGGAACCAGGACTAACTGTTCGTTTTTCCCGGAATAGTTCAAAGTTTTAAGTTTTTATTTGATGATCAAAAATGTGGTCTGCAAATTCTGATTAAGGCCTCTGAGAGCCGGTCAAACCAGCTGTCCGTCGCTGCTACTGTGGAGCCTAGAGATACCCTGAATGCAGCATTGCATCGCCCCCTCCCTTCTTTTCCCTCACACTGTAGGCAGCAATAATGTAAACAAACATATCTGCTGAACTTTTACTCAGTTACAGTGCTGTAAAGTTTATATCCTACCACGAAAATATGGTGCGGAGGAAGCTCAGTAAAATGCGCCAAGACAGTAGATTTAGTACGAGTTTTAAAGAAGAATCTCTGGGTGGAGTGAGGTGAGTTAAGGCTCGCTGCAGAAATAAAAACACGGAGCATCAACACAACAGTCAAACGCAACACTCGTCTGTAACCCATAAAATAATAAAGAGCATCATGCTAGATCAGCAGCTTGTGATGACACTTGGTTCTGCTCAATAAGAGCTGCTACAGATATTAAAGGGACTTTACGGAGTTTTGAATTTTTATGCTCGCGATTGCCCCCTCAGGCCAAAAGCGTAACGACAGCTTCAATAGGAGGCTTGTGCATGAGGCGTGTGTGTGTGTGTGTGTGTGTGTGTGTGTGTGTGTGTGTGTGTGTGTGTGTGTGTGTGTGTGTGTGTGTGTGTGTGTGTGTGTGTGTGTGTGTGTGTGTGTGTGTGTGTGTGTGTGTGTGTGTGTGTGTGTGTGTGTGTGTGTGTGTGTGTGTGTGTGTGTGTGTGTGTGTGTGTGTGTGTGTGTGTGTGTGTGTGTGTGTGTGTGTGTGTGTGTGTGTGTGTGTGTGTGTGTGTGTGTGTGTGTGTGTGTGTGTGTGTGTGTGTGTGTGTGTGTGTGTGTGTGTGTGTGTGTGTGTGTGTGTGTGTGTGTGTGTGTGTGTGTGTGTGTGTGTGTGTGTGTGTGTGTGTGTGTGTGTGTGTGTGTGTGTGTGTGTGTGTGTGTGTGTGTGTGTGTGTGTGTGTGTGTGTGTGTGTGTGTGTGTGTGTGTGTGTGTGTGTGTGTGTGTGTGTGTGTGTGTGTGTGTGTGTGTGTGTGTGTGTGTGTGTGTGTGTGTGTGTGTGTGTGTGTGTGTGTGTGTGTGTGTGTGTGTGTGTGTGTGTGTGTGTGTGTGTGTGTGTGTGTGTGTGTGTGTGTGTGTGTGTGTGTGTGTGTGTGTGTGTGTGTGTGTGTGTGTGTGTGTGTGTGTGTGTGTGTGTGTGTGTGTGTGTGTGTGTGTGTGTGTGTGTGTGTGTGTGTGTGTGTGTGTGTGTGTGTGTGTGTGTGTCCCGGAGGACAGAGGACAGGAGAATGCGCAGCTAATTAATTAAATAATGTGGTTCTGTACCTTTCTCTTCAGCACAGCCGACAAAGGTTTAAGATGGGTCAGTTCTCCTGCATGCTCAGATCATTCCCTTCCCTTGCTTGAAAAATTCTTCCAAAATGAAAGTTGAACCCACATCTTTTTTATCTGTGAATGCAATGCCATTCGGCGAGTCTCAAATAAAAATTTGAGCATCTTACTGTAAAAAAAAAGTGTATCATTAATGTAAAAAATGAAACTAAAATAACTATGATCACATCCAGAATCGAACCCGGGTCTTCTGCACGAAAGCCCGAAGTCTTACTAGGCAAGCTAAAGCGCCAGTGGCGTCTTCTGTATCTGTAACATTTATATCCTTGATGACAGCTGAAACAACGTTCAAAGAACGGTTCGGAGGGCTATGCCTGAGCGTGAACGTGCACAGGGTCCGAAATAAAATTTTTTACTCACCGGCCAAGTTGGCTGGTAGATGATGAAAATCTACCGGCCAAGCATATTTTTTACCGGCCAAAGTTCTAAATGATTTAGATCTACCTAAAGCATGTTATTCTATATTATGTTGATTCCAAACAAAGTGACAAAATAATTAAAACATCAATTAATAAGAAAAACAACACTTTTGTCATTTTTACTATTTATTTTTTTATTTTTAGAGATGTTTTTATGAACTCTTTCATTGAAATCTAGTCAGACTCCTTGTTTTCTCTGTCCATGAAGTCTGGCCTCCTGCTTCTGACACTGTCTTTGTGCCAAAGCATTACAGCCTCATTTGGGTCATAGTCCTTGATCTCTGGAGAACACAGCTGCACCATGAGAATATCTGAAAGTGTGTCAGGGCTAGGGTTGTCACGGTAACCGGTGTAGCGGTAAACCCCGGTAAAGAAGTTGACAATAATAATAACCGTCTTGTTTTAAAAAAAAACTATATTATCTCGGTGGACTACCGTGGCTGCGGTGTAGGCGCGGTGACCCTTACCAGCCACCGTATCATCTGCTGAGGTTGCCGGCGGCACATGCGCACTTTGATGTTTACGACCAAAACTTTCTTGAAGCTAAAGCTGAAATAATGGCCAAAGGAGGAGACGGCAGCGCTCAGGCCATTTATTATCACTCAAAGAAGACAAAGTTGGAAGTATGGGCATTTTTTGGATATTTGAAGAATGCCGAGGGACAGTTGATAGAAGACGGCTATCCTGTTTGCAGCACGTGCAGAAAAAGTGTCTGTGAAAGGCAGCAACGCTTCAAATCTCATGACACATCTGCGTGGCCATCATAATGTAGCCATTGTCTCACGACTCCGCCATCTCCAGTTCGCCAATTTTCACAAAATCTTCTGGTTGCCACTGGTCCTGGTGGTTATTCTTCCAGTTCGACGAGTTTTCTTTTGGAAGGCTGGCTGACTCCAGTTAAAAACCGCCACATTTCACCGCTAGTTTTAACACGAAGCTAACTGCTAACTTGATAAACTGCCTGAATGGGATAGACGGAGTTGGATGCGGCGCTCACGTTTCGCGTATGTTTGTGTACGTTGCATGCAGGCGGGAGGAGTATCAGAAATCCATGGAAGATGACTGATAAACACAACTAATTTGGTGCAAATATTTGCTTGCTATGTGGCAGATAGAGCTCAAAAATTTATTCGCCAAATGGAGCAATTTGCTCACATTTGGCGAGTGTTAATTTTAGACCCTGAATGCGCATGAAGCAGCCTGCTCGACCCGAGCAACTCTCTTTTTCTGTGATTTTACAGAAAAACAGGCAATCACAGTAAAAATGCCAGGGCTCATTCTACAGGACCAGGGCATTGCAGGAGAATGTATGAAGAAGAAATGTATTATTTCTATACATGTTTTGGCTGTCAGACTTCCATAATGCCCTTTTAAGTAAATAAATATAATAATAACAATAATAATCATATAATAAATCTCACAACACAACAAAAACATATGATAATGCAGTTTCTATTGAAATTCTATTGCTCTTCTGAAACTGCTTGCACATCGTTATTGTTTTAAGTTTGTTTTATTCAACAAAGTTCAGTAAATATTAAGAGATTTATTGACTTATTAAATTTAAACTGCACACAGTGTGTGTTCAGTTGTGTGCTGCTAGAACGTGTGTGTGTACACACACACACACACACACGTACGTACGTTTTAGCCATCGGCAACAAAATTCTGTAAAAATCTGCATCAGCTTTAAAAAAAAAGGTTAAGGATGCACAAGGCTCGACCTGCACCTGTAGCATCACAATGACTTATTAGCTAGAGAACGTCCACAGTAAATGAAGACTTAATAAAGCTATTGATGATGAAGGGTGGTGGTTGAGGGGACCTGTAACTTTTCCTCCACTTCAAGTGCGGTACATTACAGTTTATATGTGACGGTGCAGATTGCGGTTGCCTGAAGCTGCAGTTTCAATCCTAAAACGATAGCTCCTAATTTCCATCTTGAGTACCTGGTTACTGATGTTAACTAAATAAGCCAGATGATGTTGTTTACATGGTTTCCTTCAGACATATCAGAGATCTGTTTAAAGTAAAAAGAACAGAGAAGATAATGACCTGGTGGGGTTGGTCGACGACACATGGTCTTGAAGTGCTTGGGAGTGGTCTTACAAAGGTCTGCAGAGGTAGACAGAGAGTTCCCAGTGGAGGAAGATCCACTGGAATTCTGGGACGACGGGTGACTGTAGGGACAGGCTTTGGGTCCCGACGTTTTCGCAGATTTCCCAGGCGCTTCATGAAGTCCTCTTTTCTCATGACAGGTCATTCCACCTGTGCTACCTGTAGACGGAGACATTTAAAACCGGATAAAATGTATTTTTCACTTCTTAGAGTAAGGAACAAACATTAAAAACATCTACAACCTAAATAATTATGCCTTTTGTTGAGTCAAAACAAGGATGGCTGCTTTGACTTTTTCTATGGTCTGGTTTAAAACCGAATTTCAAATTTACACATAAGGCTGGGCGATATGGACCAAAACTTCTATCTCAATATCTTTTAGCTGAATTCCGATAAACATCTCGATATTTTTCTTTCTGTAAAATATTTACAAGTTAACACCCTCCAAACAGTCTTGACAAATGTCTTTGGTATGTTCTTACTGGGTCTGGTTTCTAATTCCATTTTTGGTTCTTTTTAAAACACAGGAAAGGTTTTCTCTTTACCTTGCTGACAGTTTCGTTTGCCGACTGCAAAACGTCCTCAGAGCTGACGCTGATGGTGGTGTCACTTCCTACTCTGAGGATGTTTTGCAGTCGGCAAACGAAACTGTCAGCAAGGTAAAGAGAAAACCTTTCCTGTGTTTTAAAAAGAACCAAAAATGGAGTCTTGACAAATGGTATACATAAATTCATCAGCAGAATAAACGCACAACATGTATTGATTCTTGTCAAACATTAACCCTAATGCCCATTCTCTGTCAGTACGAGCATGAGCCGGTAAAGCTGTCTGATAACACCGGTAGGTCTATATCTTTGTGTTCCGCATGGTTCGTTTTTATACTGTACTTGTAACTGTTCTTAATGTAAACTGGACCTCGAGTCTCCATCCATCTCAGTTGAGAGCTAGACATGTCTAAAATGTTCCACAGGTAGGGTTGGGCATCGAGCATCGACTGGAACCGTTCCAACTGTTAGTTTTTCCCGGAATTGTTCAAAGTTTTTTATTTCGATTCCTAGAATGTCGACCGGAAGAGGAATCCGCGGCCGATCTCCGGGAAAATTAAACGTGATCTGCAAATTATGATCAATGCTTTCAGAGCTGATCACACCAGCTGTCTGTGTGCATTCATGGTGTTATTCTTTTTAGGAAGCCTAGGTCACGCCCATCTACTTCCGGACCACGGGTCCCCGGAAGAACAAAAAAAAAATGAATGCAAGTCAACGGGGCTAAAAACATTATTTTCTAATTCAGTTTGTTTTGTGCCATGGATTTCACATATGATGTCCGTGAATTTTAAAGACAAATTTTGAAAACAAGAACACACTTATTTTCGAACGGGGAAAACTCTATTTTAGGTTTTGTGTGACAATAAGTCCAGGACCACAAATGCGCATCACCAAAGTGACGTCATCAAACCAGACAGAAAAAAACAGGGAAATGGCTGTAAGTTCAGCGAACTTCAAACCCCTCCTTCAGGAGAAAAGAACCACCATAAATCTGGTTATGTGGCAAGTAGCAGCTACGATAGGGGACAGGAGATTATGGGGTGATGTGCCGATTTCTGGTGTGTAGTCATGCTAATTATGAACTTTTACAAGTTGATAAATCTCAAAGTACGTGACAGGCGTCGTCAAAACACCCATCAATACTTTTCATTTAAACTGCAGTACAACATATGCGTGATCCAGGGCGTAAGGCAAAACGGATTAGAAAAAAGCTATTTTAGCCCCGTTGACTAGCATTCATTGTTTCGTTCTTCCGGGGGCCCATGAGCCGACCGGTAAGGGAGGAGACTTATGTCCAATCCAACTACTCACATTTGCACCCTTGCGCCCTTCATTTCCATGTTCCCGGCCAGGGGTGCGAGTGTGTAGGGTGTCCCAATTCTCAAATGTGGAAGTTGACCACGCCCCCATTGCACCCTAATCTGCACTTCACCCAAGTCCGCAGCGATGCGGATCTCGGGCAAGGGTATTACCCACAAGTCATTGCTGCAGGAGAAAAGGCTCAAGTTCCTTTTCTCAAAATGTTTTTTCTAATGAAATTAGTTCATTTTAGGACGATTAGTTGATGCTCTGAATGTTTTAGACAAATCAGCAATAAAGTTAAATTTATTTCAAATAATTGCTTTGTTGTTTGTTTGAAAGTTGTTAATAAAGGTTTTCGAAAAAAGTTTCAAAGCGACCAGCATCACAGCATGCGTTGCGATCGATGACGCGATGCTCCCTGTCTCAGTTCGGCAATTATTTGCTTGTGTACTACGCACTCGAAGCCTACTGCGCACTTTCTCCAAGTGCGCTTTGCTGAAGACCGCAGGGCACTGTGTGAGTACTGGGATTGGGCCTTAGGCTCCCTATAAGGGCCAACATGGCAGCTTGACTAGTTATATAAAGTTCTCTTGTTTGAAATGATAAACATATGGATATATTGCCCAGCCCTATTTACACAGAAGGGCAGCCTAAAGCAAACCTTGAGGTCAGAAGTTTTTCTTTGGGAAATAAACTGCAACAAAAAAGAATTTGCACATTCTAGAAGGTGGTGCATCATATTGATGCTTCCATTTTCTCTCCTGGAATCACCCCAAAATTCCACAACCTCCGCTCCGCTCCACTCCGCTCCGCCCCCGCCTTCCGCTGCCGCTCGCTTCCGAACTCAATTTTTACTGGTACCCGCTCTACAACGGCTCCGCTCCGGTGCGGAGACCTGAGGTGCGCAAACAGGCATGCGCGGGATTTTCGAGATCTTGCGATACAGTCCGAGCAATAAACGCGGAAGTTAGATCCAAACACCCGTTGTGTGGGAGAAGCATCAAAATGAACTGTTTAATCTGCCCATCATTTGTGTTGAGAGATCAGCAGTGTTTGGATCAACAAAGTGTGACTACTTTGATAGAAACTGTATTTATGGCTTACTTTTGTGCATTTAAACTTCAGCCACCATTGATGGTTGTTAAAAGTTGTTAAACCTGTGCATATGAAACAAAAAACGCTTTTTGTTTATTGATTTATTGTGAAATAAAGGAAGTTGTGCTTGCTCCCTTTCCTGTTGGGCGGTTGTGATTCCTGTCCATTGACTGCGGAGGTGCTCCGGCGTCCGGCAAAAATAGGATCGATTCTATTTTTGCCGGATGGCGGAACAGCGCACTGCCGGAGCACGGCCGCAGTAGTGGAACAGCTCTGATTGACTACAACGGGACCGATTTTGCTGCGGAGTTCGTGCCGGAGCGGAGCAGAGGTAGTGGAATTTTGGGGTCAGGCTACATCACTAATTTGAATGTTAGCCAAACCAGAAGCAAACACAGGCCTACTAGTTAGGTCTACTTCATAACTTGACATGGGTCAAAAAATAACTGAAGATAAACTTGAAGCTGAGCCACATTTCACACTCACACCTTTTAAAGGATGAATCTGCTCCCAACAGCCTAGAACATAATACAGCTCAGTGATCATTTCAGAGGACATCGTCTCAAGTGTCATTTCATTGTATGATAACACACCTTGCTGCGAGTGTGAAGATGCGTTGTGGTTGCAGTGCTCCCCTCCGTTGGCGTGGGCCGAGTTCCAGAGGCCTGACAGTTTGTGAGCTGACAGGAAGGAACTGGGGTCCCAGTCCACAGTGCTTTGCTCCGGGTAACCGTTCCCACAGCTTTGGGACTTACAAGAGGAAGAGTGTGACAATGGTACCTGGATTGATGGGAAGAAAAGAAAATTAAGCAATTAGTTAATCATCTGGCTGTTTTGTTGGCCTGTATGCTGGCAGCAGCTGTACCCTACAGGTGTCCAACAAGCTGGGGCAAAACATCTTGTAAATGCATTAACCCATTTGAAGTGTGAGAAACGTACTTTTACAATGTCCTGGTAAACATCATTTGTTTTCTTTATTTAAAGTTTAACATTTAAAGGTGCATTACGTAAGAATGACATCCTGTGGTCAAATTTTCTAACTGTAGTCCATTTTCTAAACAAAACATCTCTTTCTCACTCCCATCCATGTGCTTCACGTCGGCTGTTGCCAGTTACGGATCAGCGTCAGAAGATTCTAGATGGCAAACGAAGACGACTCATTCACAGTAAGCTGATACAGTGCTCAGCATAAATGAGTACACCTCCTTTAAAAAGTATGAATTGAATCAGTAGCTCACTGACCAAAAGAACAATTTCCAGATTTTTCACCAGGCTGGGTTTTATTGAACACTTGTTTAACTCCATACCATGAAAGTAAGGTTAATGATATAACTTGGATCACAAAATCTTCAGTTTCACTAAAACTGGTCGAAGCCAAAATAAATACACCCCACAACAAAAACTGCTACATCTAGTATTTTGTATGACCACCGTGATTTTCAAGGACAGCACCAAGTCTCCTAGGCGTGGAATGAACAAGTTGGCGACATATTGCAACATCTATCTTTTTCCATTCTACAAGAAGAACCTCTTCTAGAGCCTGGATGCTGGATGGAGAGTGGTGCTCAACTTGCTGCTGCAGAATTCCCCACAGGTGTTGGACTGGGTTCAGATCAGGAGACATATTTGGTCATTCAATCACCTTCATCCTGTTCTTCAGAAGTGCAACAGCAGCTTTAGATGTGTGTTTTGGATCATTGTCATGTTGGAAAAGTGCACGACGACCAAGTGCACAAAGTGATGGCATCAACTTCTCCTTCAGTATAGAGCAGTACATTGTTGAGTTCATGCAGGGTATCTGCAGGTTTAAGGGAGCCAAATTTAAGACTTTTTAAGACATTTTTAAGGCCACTCTGACCAAATTTAAGCTATTTAAAAAATTAAATTCAAGCTATAATTTCCAGCTATTGCCTGGAACCGGTGCTAACCACATCGCGAACGTGGGATTAGCCATCCAGTTAGCATTAAACTTCCCCATGGCGCAAGCTCCCACTAGCTTAACCAGCTAATGTGCTCATCTAAAAATAGCCCCCTTTCACAACCAGCTGAATGTGTACGGTTCCGCTTACGCCAACATCGTACACAAAAAATGCTGAACACTAACTAGAAATTCATGAAATTTTTATAGAAATAAAATAATCTTGTTTAGTGGGTCTTTGGTAATTTAAGACCTTTGGAAACTGTATTTAAGGATTATTTGTCATTTTTAAGGATTTTTAAGGCCTTAAATTTTGAAAAGCAAATTTAAGACGTTTTAAGACTTTTTAAGGACCCGCGGATACCCTGTCATGATACCGTCAATGAAATGCAGCTCCCCAACACCAGCAGCACTCATGCAGCCCACATAAATACACTACCACCACCGTGTTTCACTGTAGGCACCATGCAGTTCTCTTTAAAATCCTCACCTTTACGACGCCATACAACACAGTTGGCAAACTCAGGCCCTCGGGCCAAATTTGGCCCGCAAGATCAAATATCAGATGTATTTGAAAACTGGCCCACTGGCTGGTTTTGCTGTCAACGACTACAAATCCAGTAGTGCTTTGCGCCGTTAGCGCATCAGTTGAAGCACCCCCTCCTTTCTGTTTACAGTCATTAGCATCCATGCTACTATCAGCTTCAGCAGCATTACTCTTCTCAGTCTTGGACAAACTGAAAACACTCAGCGCCAAGTTTCCTCAACAATTTGCAGACTTTGAAGCCCAGAAATGAAGATTCCAACCGCTCAGTTATCCGTTTGCAGCCGACAGAGAAAGCTCACCAACCAACCTCCTGACGGAGCTGTTTTAACTCCAGTGTAGCGACACGCTCAAGTCAGAGTATGACTCTGTGTCAGCTGCAAGTTTTATCTTTCCTCCCCGACACAAATGACTCAACTGTGTGGTCAAGCTGCTCAAATGCTCTCCATGTTCAGCTGCACACATATCTATGTGAGCAACTGTTGTCTGTGATAAAGATGAACAGAACAACACCGGAGTCTCACTGATGAACTCCTTCCTCGGCTCACAGCCCAACCCCAGAGGTGCAGGTGTCTGGCTGGAACAGGTGAGCGTCACAGTCAATCAGAGTGGAGCCAACTGAGCTTGATTTATGTGGTTCTAAGCATTTTTTCTGCCCGGTGTGAATTTGAGTTCGACACCCCCGCCATACAGTTTTGAAACCATTAGTTCCAAGAACAGTGATCTTTGTCTCATCACTCCAGAGTATAGAGTTCCAGTAGGCTTCATCTCTTTCAGCATGGGCCCGAGCAAATCCTAGGTGTGCTTTTTTGTGCATGGGCTTTAGGAGAGGCTTCCGTAGTGGACGATACCCATGCATGCCATTCCTCTGCAGTGTGCTCTGTATGACGTCACGGGAAACGGTCACTCCAGCTTGGCTTTCTGCTGCTTTAGCTAACTGCAGTGAACTTGCAGGGTGATTTTCTTCAGCCCTCCTCATCAGAAGACACTCCTGTCCAGATGTTAACTTTCATGGACGGCCTGGACGTCTCTGGAAGATGGCTGCACTTCCATCTTTCTAAAATTTTTGGATGACTTTTGCTACATTAGTTTGACTGATATGTAAAGCTGTGCTGGTCTTCTTGTAGCCCTCACCTTTGTTATGTAAAGAAATGATTTCCTTTCACAGATTTTGTGACATTTCTCCTCCATGTGGAGCCATTGCTGACTGCATGAAATGGGAAGGGCTTTTCTTTAAGTAATGCCCTTTTATAGTCACCTGTCTGCTGGCCACCTCTTAAATGAATCATTAGACTCACCCGTGGTTGGATGCCTGTTCAAATTTAGAATTTTGTAGTCTTAAGTGTGGTTTTTCTCCTAAGACTATAATTGGGGTGTACTCATTTTTACAACTTGGGCTTGAATAGATTTGTTAGAAAAATCACTTTTTGTGTGTGAAAATGAACAAACCTTGTTTGCAATCAACAGTTCACATTTGTGAGAGTATCCTGTTGTATGGTATCTCATAGAAAACGTTTGTTCTGAAAGTATGTCACAAAAGTGAGAACACTCTGCATTTTGTAAATATTTTCCTATATCTTTTCATGGGACAGCAATGAAGACATGACACTTGTAGTCAGCGTACAGCCGGTGTAACAGTGAAAATCTGTTGTCCCCTCAATATAAATCAAAAACATATCTTACTAAATCAATGTTCCCTGTAGTCTTGTTTAAACAAATACTTAAAAAGAATTAAAACATTTTCTGTGCAGGATTTACGCTACATCAGTTTTCCATTTCCAACAGAAACAACATTAAGCCAAACTGTTTGAGTCACATGTACCAATGTCTGCTGCTCCTGCGTGCTCCTCCTCTCCTCCTCCTCCACGCTCTTGCAGCAGCTCTGACAGATCCACAGAGGCACCTCTCCGAGCAGGGACTGGGACAGCGACGGCACCGCGTCGGCCAGCTTCCGACCCGGCGCCTCCCGCAATAAGGCCTGGGAAAGTGCGGGCACGGCGTCAGCCAGCTTCGTCCCGTGACCCGCGGGAATCCCGTTCACTGAACCCGCTCCCCAGTCCTTGAATTCTCGGTGGCACAGGAGACAGCAGGTGTGCATGGGCTAGATGGAAAGGGAGAACAGAGCTGTGATCTTTTTCATTTATATATATTTAAAAAAATGATTTGATGCATCTTCTTTACTCGTTCCACCAACCAGAATTCGGTTTAGGGAATTGGTTCAGCAAGCCAATGATTTAAGAGTCTGCTTTCCTACCAGTCACTGATGTTTTAATATAATTATCCTGCTTCTTAAATGCAACTGCAAACAGCAGGTAGCAAGCAGTGGTCAGCAATATTAGTTTAAAAACACACGTCTTTGAATGCCACAATATGCAGCACTTAAGGGTCAACACTGAAAAGCTTGATCAGGCTGTTTTTGGCACTGCTTTATAAAGAAAAGTGGCTGTAAGAATAAACAACAAGGACAATGAGACAAGTATCTAATGTATCAGACACCAGCCAGCATCTATTTTAATCATGATGCCCAACATCACAAGTTTGTCTGGAGGGGTGTTGTGTCGGTAGTGCGTCAGAATTTTCACTAGCAACCAATTATTTTAGGACTGGTAAACCAAATCATTTGCCAGTGGACTTCTATTTTGTTTGGTTTTGCAACATAAAAGTATGCGATAGTGTGAAAATAAAGTGTGTGTGTGTGTGTGTGTGTTTTAGCCATACTGTTCTCTTAAAGCCCTGCAGGCTGAAGAAGGGGCTGAATTAAAAATGATGTAAACGGGTTTAAACGACCCTGGGATCACCAGTCAACTAAAACAGGTAAACAGAAACCAATTACAGCTGATCCTTTTATGTGTGTAAACACCGATTCACGGGTTTATCAGGAATACGCGAGTAAAAGCAGGTAAGATGTGCCAGATGCGAGTGATAAAAGCCGAGCATCAACCCTGCAGATGTTAATCGCAGGAGTGAGGTTAGCTCCTGCTTATTTAACACCAGCCTCTCAATGTCAACGATACAGATTTCATTAGGCATCATAAGCTGGTGAGCGTTAGCACTGAAACTTTCTGACATTAGCTCCTCACTCAGAGCCTGGTCAAACACAAACATGGCAGACTTGAGAATTAGCCCACGGATCATTAACCTGGTGTGTGTTTCAGCTGCTTGAGGAGCCGTTTAGCCTCTAGCCTGTGCTGGCTGAGCGGTCCTGTACATTCGTGGATGAAGCACGTTTGCAGCACATTCATTAGCCTTGTGGCTAACGCTAGCAGGGCGGATGAAGAGTTGTAAGGCTGCAAACGGGACGACCTGTCCGAGGTACAATGTCACCTGTAAGGTGTTGGAGATGGGCTTCAGCACCCATGGGTTCGCTTTGTTAAGTGGAGCTTTTTATTTATGTAAATGGATATCAAATGACACGAAAATCTATTCACAAGTATGGAATAGCTTCCAACTACCGAACATAGTGTCCGTTACATAAAAGCGCAGCGCTTAGACTAGCAGTGGCGCTAAAAATCAAGGCTAACTAGCCTACTTAGATGCGGTGACTGGTTGCTGCTAGCTACCTGGTTCGCCCTGGTGTTGGACAGCCTATCCAGCCCAGCATCTCCGCCGCCACCGCCAGCTGCATCGCCGGGAGAGACAGGGCTCTTCGCTGCGCTCTGCTGCTGTCCAGGCACAAGCTCTTTCTGGGCGACCGTTTGCTGCTTGCTTTTCTTCCTTGCCATTACGTCGGTGTTAACGATGCGCTTTGGACAAGTTTGCACCAGTTTCGGTAATTTAACTAGCACACTTTCGTTTCTTCTCGGACCTGAAAATGTTCTCTATCTCCTCCAGTGAAGACAACAGTGAATATGGCGGAGGACTGGCACACTCGGAGGTTCAGAGGTTAAAGATACTACTGGCAGAGAGGCTTCACTCCGCTACCGAGAGCTCGGTAACAGTGTCCATTCAGGCGGCGAAGCCATGTACCGCCATCTTTAGTAGGGGCAAAGATCCCTTTCTGTTTTGTAGAAGTAGATCATATATAAACATTTTTATGTTTCGACTTGTGTATTTATATATATATACTTTATCAGGATGATGTCCTATTTAAATCGGTGTTAGTGATTTGTCATTATTTCTTCAAAATAAATTAGAACATGTCTTTTGAGGGACCGTGGCAAAATGCAAATAAATAAATAAAAACCCAGGTATTCAGTTGGGTATTTTCGTTCATGTCTTAAGTTTTGGAGCCATTTTATGACTCAAAGATCAGAGTTAAATGGCTTAAAATAATAAAGAGAAAGTGGCTAGAAGACTGGAATCTAATAGCCAATTCCAAAGCGTAGAGACGTATTAATCAAGTCCTCGTCTCCCTCATAACAATGTACATAAATGCTGGATGACCCAAGACTTTTGCACAGAAGAACTAGTAGACCTTTGAGAGGGGAGTGGTTGTGTGGATGTATTTTGACCCCTTTAAGTACCTTTGGAAATTTTATGCACTGCAACACAATGGGCCGCTCATTAAAATAAGTAAATTCCTAATCGACCCAATAAAACATTTAAGAATAATAATATTAGGCATATAAACTGTGCGCGCACAATTTTATTTCAAAGCCATTCAGTCACACGAGACTAGAATATAACCTCGGGATTTATCCGAGCCTACGTGCGGTACGTGAACGTAGCGCCATTGTCAGTTCTGTACGCTGAAGACGTAGCATACACACAGCTCTTCATCTGGTTTGGCTGTTAATGCTTGTTCCACTTTAGTTTGTTTACCTGAGTTTTTTTTTTAATTTTCAAAATTGAAAACATAAAAATGGAAGGAAACTTTTGCAACATCCAGGTGCTTCTTCGAGCTGCTGAATTTCTGGAAAGGAGAGAGCGGGGTACGTGTTTTACGTCACCTTTCAGCCTATGGGTAGTTACTGGGTTATCACGAAAACAACAAACACGAACCAGCTGTAAATGTGAACGCGGTTTATTATTCCGGTGATGTGACTGTTTACATGTGACCGGGATTTGAGCTGGAGCTCATGTTTGTTGGTGTTTGCCTTTTGACTCAGTGACCTACATACCGGTGGCATCTTTGTTAGTGGAAGGCGCCAATCTGCGCCAGTTTGAAAATGAATCCGGGCGGCGCTGAGCGGTCTTCGTTAGGCTGAATGAAACTAAGGCTGAAACGGACCTTTAGTACAAGCTGCATCGCTGACAGACCGCGTAGAGTCCATGTTAGCCACTTTTAGTTTATCAGGCTCGAAGTTACAGTTTAAATAAAGCGGGGAGCTGGTAGGTGATGGCGCCAAAACCCAAAAGTAAACGTCCAGCCGGTGACGGATGATCTGTTTCCACCCGTATTACGTCCATTGTATTCATGTGTACTCGACCTCAGATTGTTGGTACGATGCAAAGCTATTTTTAACATCGTGAACCAGCTGCGTCTGACTCAGCTGTGATGGCTGTTTCTCCCCCCGTGCAGAAGCAGAACACGGATATGCTTCGGCCCTGCCTTTCAGTCCAAGCGACTCTGATAAGAGAAGCAAGCAGAAGAGCAGGAGGATATGTGCTGGTGGCAACAGGTGAACACATTATATAACAGATAACTGACAAGAGGGTGTGTCAGCTTTTAGGTCTGAACTCCCCCTTCAGGCACTGTGCCTGAGTTTTTCATTACTGCTGTTGTCTCTGACCAAGGTTCTTATTGTCATCTGCAGGTCGGTTCACAATGAGCTGGAGAAAAACAGGTAATCAGAAAAATGAGATGCCGGCACTTGTTTGTAGAAGATGTTGTTATTGTTCAGTGAGTTTGATGATGTGTTGTTTGCAGGCGAGCTCAGCTGAGGCATTATCTGGAGCAGCTGAAGAAGCAGGTTCCTGTGTCATCAGACTCCTCCAGGAACACCACGCTCAACCTGCTGAGACAAGCTCAGCTTCACATAAAGGTACACGTGAAGCTCAGATCTGGTGGGAATGTTTTGAATGGCGTAGATCTCGGTTTGGAGAAAGAGGGATTCATTCTGGGTCAGGTGGTCAGGTTAGGGCCTGAGGTAGCTAGCGCTGCAAGTAACCACAACAGATAACCACGTAATGTGATGTTTATTGTGGTGTAAAGTTTATAAAATGTCATGTTGGTATTCACTGCTATCAGACCTTTGAGATGAGTTATTTCAAGACTACAGAACCACTTTGTAGCTAGCACCCTTCAGACTAGCTACAGACCCTCCACAAACTAGTCACCTGCAGCTGGTACCAACAGTCACTTTCAACGATCTAATCTCAAGTTTAGCCACTCTTTTAGCACTGCTAAGTCGCAAGAATAAGAATGATGGGAAACAAATTTTACGAACCAGTGTGTGTGTGTGTGTGTGGCCTCTTACTGAGAAGGTGGATGTGTAGGAACTTAATGCAGATCTGAGGAGTCTGCATCTTTTCCAGAGAGCAGCAGTGAGAACAGATGATGTCAAAGGTCAGTAGAGTCCTTTAGTGTTTGCAGAAATGTAGTCTTGGTTGTGCTTAGCCAGCCTGTCACCTGCTGCAGACCCTTTCTGTCCTCTGAGGTTGACACCACAGCAGAGGCAGATCGGTCAACGTGAACATGAAGGTCTTCGCCCCCTTAACCCGCGTGAAGATGGTTCTGTACACGTTTGCTCATCTGTTTCTGCCTTTCCGTTTGCCTGGTTTCAGAAACTTCAAGAGCAGGACGAGCGCGCAGAGAAGCTGAAAGGTCACCTACGCTGGCAGCAGAGGGAGCTGCGGGTTCGGTTGGAGCAGCTGCAGAGAGGGACAGAGAGGATGAGGAACAACAGCCAGGGGTCCACCATGTCCTCGGAGAGGTCAGACTCCGACAGAGGTGGGTCTCAGCTCAACCTTGCTACTTGGTGGAAGGTCCTTTCTCATGCTATTTACTTATTACTGTAACAGAGGACGTGGAGGTTGATGTGGAGAGCATCGTGTTCGACTGCGTGGATTCTGACGGGCTGAGCTTTGCACACACGGATGTAGACCACTGTTACTCCAGCATGGACAGAGCCTGGCTATGACTCAAGGGAAAAGACGATGTGTTTGTTTAGCCAGGAGGAGGAAACGGGAAGAGGAGAAAAACATTCCAAAAACAGAGGACGAAGGACGAGATGAAGATGTTACTGTACAACTAAACTCTCTAGTTTTTAATGATCTAAATGAGAACAGGTGTATTTGAACTGAACGGGGAAGGATGTTACATCATGAAAATGCTTCCATCAACACGTGATGTCATTTCCTCACAACCATCAGGTGTTTTACCTTCCAGTGATTCATTGTTTAACAGGAACAAAACGAGGGCTTTTATACAAGAATCTGAACTCATCCAGTATGCCTGCTAAACTCTGCCTTAAAGCTATTTAGCTGTTTTAGTCCAGCTTCTCCTTCAGCACCAAATTTACAAATGGTTGCATGCACTTAGACATTAATCTGCGCTACATTGTTTTGTTTCATTCGTGGTTTAAGCTTTTCAGTTGCATGCAAAGTCTACTCGTTGCACTCGTTTTGGGTTAAAACTTAATTAGTCCAACGCATCAGAACCAGGTCCGTAGCTACGGTGTGAGCATTAAAGTCTGTTCGATCAACTGGTACAAATATTCACGTTTCTGCAATTTTGATTAATATTTTTTCTGAGGTCTAAAATGTTAATTATATGTACAAAGAGTCTAGTCAGGCAGGTAATCTGTACTTTTAATGATCATGCAACCAGTGCTGTTTTACAAGTATCGTGTATTTTTGAAGGTGCTTTTCCCCCTTCACCTCTGTGTATATGCAAGATGCCTTATCATTAATATTCATGTCTCTCCGCCCAGTAATATTATGTAGCATTTTTGTACTGGTGTAAGCTTGTCTTTTTTAATATTATTTTAAACAAATAAATATTTTCTATATTTATGTGCACCAGTCTGTTTCAGCGCTTTACCGCCAGCTCGAAGTCAAAGTAAGTATCTGACATTTTATTAATTTTATTGAATGAACATGATGCTCCAGTTGCCTTCAGATTTATGCATCAAGGTGAAGATCAGGTGTAGACACTGGTTGGTACAGCAGCAGGAGTGAGGACTCGTTATGAAGCTGTGATCACTAAAAAGGAGCCTCCGTTAAGATGATCAGTCGGTAGAATAATTAACAGACAAAACGGCTTAAAAACAAGTAAAAAATAAACATTAATCAGGTATTTTGAAAACTGCAGCTAATGAACAGAAATCAGGAGGACCTTTAGAGAGTCTGACGCAGGTGGGTATGAGGAACAGTTTAAGGAACACTTCCAGCGTTGGTTATTCTTATGGCACCAGGACCAAATCAGTTTTCCTAGTGAATAATAAAACCACGTAGTGATGTCATGAAGTCAGCGTGTCGTTATCGGGGAGGCTGAAACAGGCTCCTGAACCCAGCTCAGGCCTTTCATGGTCCACCCACCATCTTACTAATAACCCTGAGAGGCTGGTAAATCTGTCCCAGTGTCAAAGGTCGCGGCTCATCATACGTATTGTTTCTTGTGAGCGTGCGAGGCGAGGTCCTTTGCTTTTTCCTTAGCTGCCAGCGCTGTCTCTCTCGCTCGCTCCGTAGCCGTTTCTGCCAATGTTCTTGATGGAGTCTCACCTGCACAAACACAAATCACCACTCTCAGGTAAACACTCCCGCATGTTTAGCATCTTCCTCTTAAAACGATGCATGCCACGAAACTCTGAATGGTAACATGTCAAACAGCTGCCATGCTTCCCTGTTGCACCACACCTGATCTGAATGAAATGGTCACAGAAGCCACTCAGTTACCTAATCAGTAGGTTCAGGGAAACCAACAAGGCTGTCTGAAATCTAGCTATAGAAAATTCATCAAATGGTGCAGCTCTAAGCAGGGGGCATGAACCTATACAACATATCTGTGAAACACCATAATGCAGTCAAACGTGTGCCGACCGCATTTCAACTCTTAAAGAGCAAGTCACCCCCAAATCAACTTTTTCTGATAAACTATAAATGCGTGTCTAATCATGCTGCAGACACGTGTAGTCAATAGTTTAGCACTTTAGTGCATTTTAGTAAAAATTTAAATTTTCTGCCTAAAACTGTCAGTGTTGCGCCGTCATCAGGTAAAAACTGCACTGCAGTTGAATTCTGGTAGGGGGTGACTTGCTCTTTAAATGTCTTCTGTCATTTTAAAGAGCAAGTCACCCCTGCCAGAATCTTACTTCCCTCCCACTTCATGTCTGACAAATGCAACAATGCTGTTGCCTAGCAGACCGAGAGGGCGGAGCTGCCAACTAATACACACACAGGCTCACAATGACATTGTGTCATCATAATGTACCAGCTAACGTCATAGCGTACCTCTTAGCCAATAGTGGTGGCAGATTTTAATTCAAATGCAGTGCAGAGTTTTTACCTGATGACGGCACAACACTGACAGTTTTAGGCAGAATATTTAGGCAGATCTGGACAAGTGGGGGAGTACAGGAAGGTGGAGAGTACAGTTTGTAAAGATGACTCTCCCTTGCCCTGCCTCCAACATCCTCCATCTAAAAAGGCTTGGTTATCCCGAGTTATCTTTGTAGTTATGCTGCTATAGGCTTAGACTGCTGGAGGGCATACTGTATTATTTCCTGCTATTTCAGCTGTTAACTTTATTTTTTCTCTAAGTGTTTTTCTCCCCAAAAGAAGCTACAATGATGTTCTGCTGAGCTGTGGTGGCCTCATGGAGGGGGCCATCGTCTAGCACACTGCTGCTAACCACTTAAACATTCTCCCTCTCCTGATAATAACTTTTTACTTTCCTTGACGTTGAATGTGCTACTACTAGTTTACCTGTTTAATTATAGATTCACTAGGATAAATACAATAAAGTTTATCTCTCACCAAATATAATATTTACTAAGAAATCACAATGTTACCATAGAAACATTACTAGGTACATATGCTGTGTGTGTGTGTGTGTGTGTGTGTGCGCGTGTGTGTGTGTGCTCTGTCTTCTTGATCCCCAGTGAGTCGTGGTGGATGGCTGCTTATACTGAGCCAGGATCCTCTGGAGGTTTCTTCCTGTTAAAAGGAAGTTTTCCTCTCCCCTGTCGCTGCATGCTTGTTTAGTATGAGGATTGCTGGAAAGACTCTGCTGGGTTCCTTATATAGGAAACTTTTTACTGATTGGCTTAATGAACTGACCTGTATTGCAATGTTTCCTTTTTGAAGGGACTTGAGACGACTCTTGTCGTGATTTGGCGCTATATAAATAAACTTGAATTGAATCGAATGTAGACAGATATCAGAACAACATTTTGAGTCTCATGGGTGTTTTGTGCATGTAGAAAAAGTTTCAGATGTTTGAGTTCAGCTCATGAAAAATGGGAGCAAAAATAAAAGTGTTGCATTTATATTTTTGTTCAGTGTATTTTAAATGGGTAAGACTTTAGCATAATGCTGGCCATTTCTTACCCCAAAAAAGTAAGAAAAACAAAACCAACAATTTTTAATTAAACTGTGTAATAAAGAACAGTAAAATGGATAAAAAAGCATTTATGTTTCTAATATTAGGTTTTACCAAGGTTAAATACTGGAGGTGTTTACTCTGAGCTGGTGGAAATTGACATGTCCCAGAAGCGGCTTGCAGCAAAAATAGAACACGATCCTATCTTTAGCGATGCAGCGTGCCGCTTCTCGGACGCGCCTAAACGGATCCAGGGGCAACAGGGGCGTGGTCAACTTCCGCACTTGAGGATCGGGACATCCTACACCAGGGTATTCAATTCAATTCAATCAGTAGGTGATAAACAGGCTTCTGCAGAGCCTGATGAGCTGCTGCACAGGTGATTCAACAGCTGAATCAAGTGTGTTGGAGCAGAGAAACCACTAAAATGTGCTGGAGACCAGCCCTCCAGGACCGGAATTGAATACCCTGGCTCTACACACTCACACCCCTGGCCTGCAACGCACAATTGAAGGGTGCAGGGGTGTAAATGCGAGTATTGGGAGTGGGCCATTGTGCTCAGCATGCCGTCTCCGTGACTGACGCACTAAAACAAATATGTTTGTGAGCAAAAGGAATCCCCTCTCTCTGACTGATTCTCATAAAGAGTGACTGAAACATAAATAAAACCAGTAGTTCAACTGGTGCAACCCACACACACACACACACACACACACACACACACACACACACACACACACACACACACACACACACACACACACACACACACACACACACACACACACAAAACCTACCTTGCATTTTGGCGAGAACATACTCAAAGCCTTTCATTGTCTTTGTGACGCTTTTCTTGAACCTGGCCAGACCGAATTCCTGAAAAGTGAAGAAACGGTAAACCATTGTGGTTCATCCCAACACTTATGAAGCTTCCATCTGAATATTTGTTATTAACCAATCAGCACCACTGTTTGCCACATGGCTACAAGAAGTCAGCTGTTACATCTCAACACTATCATCACATTACAAACATTACAGGGTGACAGGCAGGTGGCGCTTACACGTTAGCGTCGGCACGGTCGGGCTGGATGGCGTGAGTTTGGTCTCGAGCGGGCGGTGTAGTGTTCACATACAAATCCGAGGGACTTCTCAGGAATGCGGAAACCCCCGAGCCTGTGGGCGGCGTTTAATACGAGCGGGAAAGTCTGCGGTGCCCTCCATAAGATAAACAAAGGCGGGCATGCTTTTGCAAGCTCTGAAACACATTATTTATTGGCTGTGTGTCCTCATAATCTTGTGCCACAAACACACACACATACACACACACTGCTTTCTCCCCTGAGCAGCTGTCTGCTTGCCAGGGCAAGAGCTCCAATGCAGAGAAAACACACACACTCCTCTCCCGTTCCCACCGAGCGGCAGCTCCGTGCTACAGACAGAAGTTTACTCAGCAGCATCCATTATGAAAATGAATCAGCCCCCCCCACTGGCTCATTCTTCTAGCAGATCGGAGGCGGTAGGCGTCATTTTAGCCAGCCAGTCAGTCCGTTGTGTCGCCTCGGTCCCAGTCTGACCGCTGGGGAGAAGGTCTGGAAAAAAAAGTCGCCTCGGAGCCGAAAACACAAATCTGACCTGTGTGTGAAGCCAAAGGGACCGAACCGATGCTAATGTGTAAGCGCCAGAGTCTCATTCAGACACTCCACACAGCTGTCTCTCTCTCTCCTCTTTACTCTACTGACCTGGATAGCTCTGGTGAGGCCGTAGACACCAGAGGAGATCCAGGCTTCTCTTGTAACCTCAGTCCAGCTGCCATTCTCCGGGTTTATTTGGTACCGACACCTCTCCTCCACTGACTGCCATCACACAACACAACACAAAGCAAAGCAAACAACATGAGGCCATGATTTGATTCCCTACCACACAGAGAGCTGATCAACGAAAACACAAAGCTACCATAAGTCGAGCGTGGCTGATGTTCCACGTCAGCGTGGTCATAGTCTTTTTCTGAGGGTCCACGATGGAGTCCTCAATGATGTACGCCGAGCTGGCCATGTGCTTCGGAAGATACCGCTCCATCCAGCGTGGAGCGCGGCTGGTTTTGGTCATCAGACGTCTGGAAATTAGACAGTTGTTTGGGGTAACCTCCCGGAAAATGATGTCTTCTGTCAAGACGTGGTTACTGTGATTAAAATGAGAAAAATAAATAAATAAACATGGAGCACCACGAAAAGCTACAAGACTCAGACGTTAGGGCTGGACGATACAGAAAAAGAAGCTTAGCGATAATAAATAAATCATATTGATTCAATATTAATAATTACTGAAAATTATCTGAAAAATATAGAAAATATTTTTAAGTGCAGCCCTGGCCATCTTAGGCCATTACTTTAAAACAAAGTTGGTTGCATCACCAGACTTGTTTTTTATCGATTCTCTGTTGCAAAACACCGTTGTTTGTCTGTTGTCAGATTTGTAAGAATGAAAATGTTGCCACACCGGTGAAGTGCTGCAACCTTTTTCCAGGACAGTTTCTTCCACCTCTCCTTGCTGCAGCAGCTTGTTTAAGTCACACTTAAGTTGTTTTTTTTTTTTGGGGGGGGGGGGGGGGGGGGGGGGGGGCTTGAAGAAGAAAATATCATTTCTACAGCGCCTCTCATGATAAAAAAAATCACGAGGCGCTTCACAAAAACAAAAAATGTAAAAATATAAAAAAGCATTTAGAAAATGTTTAAAAATATATTTAAAATGAGCAAAAATAGGCAATTGGGATTTAAAAGAAAAAATGTTAAGAGAGAGAGTGAGTAGGAAAGAGGGAAATCAGTGGATCCTGAGGAAGGTGGAATAGGTGGGGAGAGCAGAATAAAGAGACAGTGGTGAAGAAGGTCATACAAAAGCCAGCTTGAACAAGTGAGTCTTCAGCTGCTTTTTAAAGGAGACCACTGAGTCCACTGATCTCAGGCTCAGGGGGAGAGAGTTCCAGAGTCTGGGGGCCACAGCTGCAGATGATCTGTCACCTTTGGTCTTTCGCCTGGAGCTGCACAACCAGTAGGCTTTGATCACTGGACCTCAGGGACCTGCTGGGGGTGTAGGGACTAAGAAGATCACCGATGTAAGATGGTGCTTGTCCATGTAAGGCCCTATAGACCAGAACCAGGATCTTGAAATGAACCCTGAAGTTGACTGGCAGCCAGTGAAGCTGGAGGAGAAGCGGGGTGATGTGGGTGTGTTTGGAGGACTTGGTCAGAAGCCGAGCACAGGCGTTCTGAACCACCTGCAGACGGTTCAGGGAGGTTCTGCTCAGACACGTGAAAAGAGAGTTACAGTAGTCTAAGCATGAGGAGATGAAGGTGTGGAGAACTGTCTCAAGTTCAGAGCGGGACAGAATGGGACTCAGCTTAGCAATATTCCTGAGATGGAAGAAGGAAGAGCGAACAAGAGAACTGACATGAGAATCCAGGGTGAGAGCCGGGTGACGGAGCACGCTTGGGTCGGTGTTTTTGATAGGTTGGGTGTAAGTAATGACTCTAGTATGAAGCTAAACAGTTATAACAGAAAAATAAAACTTATTGAAGTTTTTATTGATCCACTTTTTTCCTATTGAACCACACATCTATTGATCAATATATATCGTTATTGAATTACTGTCCAGCCCAATCAGACATATTACATTTATACACTGAACTAAATTATAAACACAAAACTTTTGTTTTTGCTCACCTTTTTCATGAGCTGAACTCAAAGATCTGAAACATTTTCTACAGACACAAAAGACACATTACTCTCAAGTGTTGTTCACAACTGTGTCTAAATCTGTGTTAGTGAGCACTTTGCTGAGATAATCCATGCCACCTCACAGGTGTGGCATGTCAAGGTGCTGATTAGACAGCATGAGTATTGCACAGGTGTGCCTTAGACTGCCCACAATAGAAGGTCACAGTTGGATCACACAGCACAACGCCACAGATGTCATAACCTCTGAGGGAGCGTGCGATTGTCATGCTGACAGCAGGAATGTCCACCAGATCCGTTGTCCATGACATGAATGTTTATTTCTCCACCATACACCGTCTCCAGAGGAGTTTCTGAGAATTTGGCAGCAGATCAAACCGGCCTCACAGCAGCAGACCACGTGTAACCTCACCAGCCCAGGACCTCCACATCCATCATGTTTACCTCCGTGATCATCCGAGACCAGACACTCAGATAGCTGCAGCAGCAATTAGCATTTTGATTTGCCTTACCAAGGAGGGAAGCTCATCTGCATGCTCGTCATCTTCATCCGGGTTTGTTATTGTAACCGGCTTGAGCAGGGATGGCGCCTGGCACGTTGCAGAGGTGTTCTGTTGATGGAGGAACCCTGGAGGAACCCTTTTCACAGGGCAGATGACAGACCGCAACGTCAACGTTGTGGATCGAGTGGCTCCTGGTGGTGATTGGGTTTTGGTATGGGCAGGTGTATGTTATGAACAACAAACACAGGTGCTTTTTTTGGTGGCCTTTTAATGTAGAAATACCGTGACGAGACCCTGAGGCCCATTGTTGTGCCGTTCGTCCACGACCACCACCTCATGTTGCAGCACGATGACGCACGGCTCCATAGTTCAAGGATTCCTGGAAGCTGAAAACATCCCAGTTCTTGCACGGCCAGCAGACTCACCAGACATGTCACCCACTGAACACGTTTGTGATGCTCTCTGCGTATACGACGGCGTGTTCCTGTTCCTGCCGATGTTCTGCAACTTCACACAGCTATTGGAGGAGTGGACCAACAGTCCACAGGTTACAATCAACCTGCTTAGCTCTATGAGACGGAGATGTGTTGAACTGCGTGAGGCAAATGGTGGCCACACCAGATACCGACCTAAATATAGAGGTTTCACACAGTGACGCATCACTTCTCCTTTTAGCACTGCAAGTGTATGTAAATAGGAGCTTTTAGTTGAAAATATCTTTACATTCACTCAATTTTAAGTATAACAGTTCAGAGCAATACACGTGTGTCCTTAAACACTTATGTGGTCATAGTCCACCTAAACTCTCAAACTTCACATTTTAAAGGGAGTCATGATCTAAACCGCCTGCACACCGAAAGACGAGCTGATAAGCGACTCTGTTCTCACCTGTAAGGGTTGGGATAACGCTGCCAGAAAGCGATGCAAACTTGGTCCCAGGTGCTTTTCAGCACACCTGTGCAGCTAAAATATTTCACCATTGTTCCCTTGGTTTGCTCTGGCGCGGAACCTGTCGAGCAACAGAGCAAACAGTGAAAACGTGCAGGACTGTCAGGAAGCTAGAGATAAGAGCAGGAGACAAACGTTGACACTAGTGAAACCTTTATAAACGTGTTATTACCTTATAAACACAACGCGAGGACAGCAGGGATTACTGTCAGCTTTATTTCCTACCTACTGACACCAACTCAAGCGTAAAGCTTTGACAAGGTCAGCTGAACTCCGGAAAAAACTCTCTGTCACGTACACACGCGCCTAGCTTCCTTGTTAGCATGAAGCTAATCAAATGAATGAGACGTTGCGCTAAACAACTTAGTTTTCAGAAAACATCGGTAACTAAGTACACCAGCTCGTCACAGAAGCGGAAGTGCGTACCTGAATGTCAAAATATGCCTTTCATTCTCCTGCTGGGACAAAGTTCATAGCGTGGACACCACCAACATGTCATGCCCAAGGGATGCAGAGAGGTAAGGTCAGACAGTGACGTATCATCCGGTAGGCGGTGCAACTTTGACCACTTTACCACTTTGACCACTAGAGGGCAGCAACACACAGAGCGAAAGCCACGCTGCGTTGAAGTGCTTTTGAGACTGTTTGATGCGAGGCAGTAAATAATCTGTGAAACAACAAATTATTTCCTTTATTAATTTCACTTTATCATTCTGACAAGCCTGATTCTTCGTCCTTGTGCTTTAATTAGACATTCACTCTCAGGTCTAATTGATCCAAAGCCAAGTGTAGCCTACCCTGATGGTAGGTAGCCCTGGTGCGAACGTTCATTTAAATCTACAGTCCATAAAAAAACATGCTTAAGCCATAAAATCAGCAGTGTGGGTGTCATGAAACAGTAATATGCTGTATAGGCTGTAGGTATTCACTTTGATGTCAAATGAATAAAACTGGGCAAGCTACACTTGTCATAAAGTCACTTGATGCAACCTGCTGGGTTCCTTATAGATGTGGCAGTGTGAGCGTCCTGTCACAGTGTCTTGACTGATCATGTGCCCTGGCTACTCAACCAAGGGGGGACGTCCCTTTGGCTGACTGGTTAGCACGCGTGACCCTCACCTGGGATCCTGGGGATCGAATCTCACCTGGGCCCTCGCCCCCCACCCCGCCACATATAAGAAACATTTTACTGATTGGCTTAATGAACTGACCTGTATAGGAATGTTTGCAGTGTGAAGTGCCTTGAGACGACTCTTGTCGTGATTTGGCGCTACATAAGTAAACTGAATTGAATTGAACTGAATAAATAGCTTTACATGACCCCCTTATTACAAAACAAGCCTTAAGATAGCAAAACTTGCCTGTTGCTGTTTGGTTCTGAGAGCTAGTTTCCTGCACGTTGCAGGGACGTGTAAGCCTAGAAAGCTGGAGAAACTGTAGCAGTTGCTAAAGATTTTGCATTTTTATTCGTATTAATAAGATGGCTTGCCAGGCTAGGAATTTCTGTGATCAGTGTGTTTCTTGGCAGCTTCCATGTTTACCCACAGGATTTAGAAATGCACAGTACTTCTGCACACACACAAGCCAACATGTCTTTATTAGACAAGACGGTACAAAGCATAATTTCTCCTAATGGGCACATGGGTTAGTGTGTAGAGTTCAGGCTCAACATGTGTCCGGAGGATTAACGTCCATGTGTGTATTAAAAGTCTTTGACATAAGACACTTTTGCAGCAGTCTAATGGACAGAACGCTCCATTGTCTTTTCACCTCTTTCGAGCGAGCTTCCGTATCGAAGGTATCAACAGTGTGTTGCCCACATGTCATATGGGTCACTGGTTCTCAGTCCCATTTCTCTGGATACAGAATCCTGCTGGTCCAACAAAGCTGAAACAGCTGGTTGCCAGGTGATGACAATGAACTTCCTGTTTACACAGCAACGTATTGATGGCTCCCCTTGGATTTCTTGGAAAGAGTTTGTATTTTACTCTGCTAGAACACCGTATTCCTTCCAAGTTACAGAATTTGAATTAAATGAGTGACAGTTACCCAAATATTTCAAGCAGTCCACAGTGAGAGAGAGAGAGGGAAAGAAAAATTGGTCACAGTCAATGCTATCTGTTGAGATTGTTGTCAAATTAGAGATTATTTACCAACAAGGTTCTGCCTTTGCAGGAGAGCATGTATATCAGTGGTGTCCAACCCTGAACATGGAGCACCACTGTACAACATGGTTAGTCTTTCCCCAGCTCAAACTCTCTGATTCAATTTTTGAATCACCTGTTCAGCAGGTAACCCACTGATTAAAACCAGGGCCCGCATCTTCCAAACGTTCGTAGAAACTGTTCCATATTCTTTTCTGCAAAGGAAATTTAGAATAATCGTACGAAGAGCCAAAACCCTGATTCACGAAACATGCTGTGGCAACTCGTATTGCAATCAACTATTTTGGCATCAGTAGCTCAGGAGGTAGAGTGGGTTGTCCAGTAATCAGAGGGTTGTGGGATCGATCTCGGCTCCCGCCAGAGAATGCTGCCGTTGTGTCCTTGGGCAAGACACTTAACCCACCTTGGGTGCTGGTGGTGGCCAGAGGGACTGGTGTTCGGCGGCTTCGCTTCCATCCGTGCACCCCGCGGCAGCTGTGGCTCATCACCATCAGCATGCGAATACTGTATGTGCATGCTTAGGTGGATGACTGATTGTGTTGTCAAGCACCTTGGGGGGTTGTGGAAACCAGTTAAAGTCCCATTAGTCATCACACAATAGTGAAATCCTTCTCCGTATTTGACCCATCCCTGTGGGGAGCGCTGAGCTGCAGCAGTGGCTGTGCTCGGGAACTATTAGGTTATTTAAGTCATCTAGAAGGCACATTACAAATACAGGCCATTTACTATACATCCTATGCATGCGAACCCAGGCGCTTGTGTCCGTTCAGTCATTTGCATACAGAAACACCCTCAGTTAACCAATTTGGTCAAACCACATCCTAAATTTGTGAGGGAAATCCTACAATCGTCTCTGAAAACAAAAACTTTAGTAACAGTAAGATCAGGGTACTTGTTGCTGAAGTTGAAACTCGGGTAAGCAGTGAAAGAAAGAATGTCACCTGGGAGAAAGTTGTGGTTGGGACAGAAGAGGTCCCAGTTGGAAATAAAGAAAAAAACGGTTCAGCATAAAACTGAAAACAAAAAACGTGGAGTAACAGACTGATGTTCCGTTATTTTGTTGTTTCCAGTTGACATTTAAGGAGTCTTTTGCGTGTCCTGTTTGGATTTACATTTGTTCTTGTCTGGAAAAGTCCGAGTGCATCCTCCTCAGTCAACTGCAGAGCTGTCAGTCAGTCTGGTTACCTTGGCAACGTGTGTATTTTGGGGGAGCAAAGAGGAGGTTCTGAGGAGGAATTTCCCAGGTTGTTTGTAACGTTGGGCTGCTGTTGTTGTCGAAGCTGAGAATAAACCAAGAAAGTAGACAAACTGCCTGATTCTTTACCCTTAAAACATTATTTATGATGACACAATACAGCTCAGGGAGGCTGTGAGACACTCGATCTGCCTGCCATCCCATGTTGGAAGTTCCCGGTGGAAAAACACCCTAAGGTTGTCAGTAATTGAAAATGGACTGAAACGGATTTGTGTGGATTGTCTGTCGCTCCACAAAGGGTCCCAAATTACGGCATAGCTCCAGAAGGATCTCTGTCGGGATTCAGTATGTTCAGGAGCCACGCTGTATTCTCAACAAGCAGATCGGACCTCTCACAGAAGAAACGTTCGCTCAAGAGTGCACGCTCTTCCAAATCCTGCAGTAACACAAGATCAGCCATTCCACTAAGTCCAATTCCTGTCAGTCACAGGTGTCTTTACAGGGTCTACACAGTTGTGCGACTAAACATGTTCTTCCCCGGACATTATTACTTACTGGGTAAAACTAATTGTGGATGGGGAACATGCACGGATGACCGAGACCTTCAGTGTCGCTGTTCCCCCGTTCTTCCACTAGATGCTGTTCAGAGGCACTGTCAAAGCTGTGGTTATGTTTAGGAACATTTCTAAGCACAAGTACAAAATGGTGAATACTACACAATTGTTCCTACGCACACAATACGCACCGATCTGTGTGCGGGTACGGTTGATAAACGAGGGCCCAGGTGTGCTGAAGCACAGAAACCTCTAAGACACGCAGGACAGGGAGCCTCGAGGACCAGGGTTGGACACCGCTGGTCTACATGGTTTCATGTTAAATAACACTTCAGTAAACATTTTAATTCACACAGGTTGGTACATTATTAGTACCGTTTACAAACAAAAAGAGCCTTACATACACGACTAGCATGCAAAGCTTCAGGCTTTCTTCAGCCTTCAGTCACACACGAACTAAAGGTCAGTCCATTCAAGTCCAAAGGCTTCTTCAGAACCACGTACTCTTTAAAGCAGGGGCGTTTAACGTGGTCGTGGTCCTCAGGCTTTCTAAGCTCTCACACAGCCGTGGGAGGATGCCCTCCGTTACGTCCATTCAGTGTCATTCCTCTGATGGAACGTGTCCTGAACGAACCCTCGGGGTGGAAAGAGTCTGGCTTGTCCTCACAGCGGAAGACCATCAGGAAGCCATTTCTGTAGTTTTTGTTCATCCATCCGTACAGCAGAGGATTGGCAAAGGTTGAGCACATAGCCACGATGTGGAACAGCGTGTAAATGAGTTTATACTCCTTAAACCTGAGCACCAGGTCCAGATCACTGGCCAGCTGGAACACATGAAACGGGAGCCAGCAAAAGGCGAACACCACCACCACCAGCGCCAACATCTTTGTGGTCTTCTTGCGTCGGTTGATGCTTTCGTTACGGCTCGATGGGCTGACGTGGTTCTTGAGTTTGACCCAGATGCATATGTAAGCATAACTGATGATGGCCAAAGGAATGATGTACTGTAGCAGAAGCATCGACAGGCTGTAGATCAGCCCGTCTCGGTTGGACCCGTGGGGCCACTTCTCAGAGCACACAGCCATGCGCAGATTAATCGAAGGGATCTCTTCATTGCGGTACTCTCTGAAGATGGCCAGAGGGGCTGCCAGGACAGCAGACATTGTCCATGTGATCGCCATGATGAGGAGACTGGAGCACCATGTCAGTCGTCGCCCTAGGTGGAAGACTATACAACGGTAGCGTTCCAGAGCTATGACAGTAAGGGTAAGGATGGACACGTGAACGCTCAGGGCCTGGGCAAAGGGCACCATGTGGCACAGCACCGCCCCGAACTTCCACTCATCCAGCAGGGTGTAAACCAGGGTAAAGGGCAGGCAGAGAGTGTTCACCAGAAGGTCTGCCAGGGCCAGGTTAGCTATGAAGAAGTTGGTGACAGTCCTCATGTTTTTGTAGCGAACTATCATGTAGATCACAAGGGAATTACCCAGCAGCCCCAGCAGGATGATCAGGGAATACGCTGATATGAGGACGACTTGAACTCCAAGGTGCTTGGTGATGTCAGAATGGAAACCGGGAGGGTACGAACCCAAGCTGTCATTGAGTAGAATGGAGGGGTCGGTTTCCCCTGTTTCCTTTTCTCCTGTGCTGTTGGACATGTCTGGAGGGCTCATTTTTTCTGGGAGATGCTGCTAACACTTAAGAAAGAAAGGGGACAAAACAGAAGGGCGGTTTGAGACAAGCTAGTCACTTCACGTAATGAGTGGAAAAGACAGGGTGAGATGGGAAAACACCCAAAGCTTTGAGTTATTTACTTCTCTCCTCTTTTTTTCTTCTATCTGCCTTTATTGTCAATGCAAACCGGTCATTTGCTTCTGCAGAGGAGTGTAACACATGCTCCCCACACGCTTCCAAACAAATATCCCAGTGGGAATACCGAGTGCAGCTAAGAGGACTTGATTGTGAAACCCTGCCAACTTTAACCCCAGAGATATCACAGCAGGGAGGCCCAGCCATGACCCTCTTTGGGGCTAGACCTCCTCCTCCGTGTCTGCAACCTATTCTCATCTCCAACAACTCTCTCTAACTACAGTCCCTCCTGCCTGAATGCAGACAAAATTAGATGACATTAAACGTAATTTTATTCGCCTTCAGTGTCCAAAACTTTTCACATAATATAATAAAACAATGCACAATTATTTAACAGGAAGGTGCTCAGCTTAGCAAATGTCACCACCATAAAGCAGACTAAAGCCGGGCGTACACTGTGCGACTTTTGCACTTTTTTGAGCCGATTTTCCACTCGTGCGAGAATTCACGAGATCGGGGCGAGTTTTGCGCCGAGCGTCGTGTAGTGTACAGGGGGTTACGAGAGGCGATTAACACCACGTGACCAGCTACCGATCAGCAATCGTGAGCTCGCACAAACTTCTGGCGTGTTTAATATTTTGCTCGTCCCTCGTGAGGGTATCGCACTGTTGAAGCGGCGCTGCGAGCAGCTGCGACCCAAAAAGTACCAGAACCGTTCACGGCGCATGCGCAATCCTGCATCAACGCTTGTCGCTCGCTATTTCCCTAATAACACACGCTGTCCGTTTTTGTTTCTACATGTTTTTTTTACTCACAAAGATTGTCAAGAAAGCGTGTTTGCCGTGTTCATGTCAAATTAAACTGATCACCAAACACAGATTTACTTTCTTTATTTTGTTTTCCTCATCCGACCCCCATAAATCCCTGTGTGTCCTCCTGCAGCACTCCCGAAGGACAACAGGCAAAACAAGACAAAAAAGTCTGACGTGTTGAGTAAAAACTGCTACTTTTAGCATATTTTTAGGGCCGACGTGTTGCTACCAGACGTACAGTGTGAGCGCATGGCTCGTGAGATCTGCTCTGCGAGGAAGTCGTACAGTTTGAGCTGAAGCTGAGTGCTGCGAGTGAAAAAGTCGCACAGTGTATGCCCGGCTTAACGCAGGAGTAATAATCCAATGCAATTTAGAAGATAAGATGATTCGCTAATGCATGCAGCCTAATCATTATGACAATTGTGCATGATTGCATTGAGAAAGGTGGGTGTCCTGAAAAGCACAGTGAATGAAATTCAGGTCGCTGTAACAGATAATATCTGATAGAAATCAGCTCTGCTTGTAAAAGCTCATTCCAGAACTAAATAAGACTCCATAGCTGCCTTAAGCAATTTATATAAAATGCCTTTGTCCTTGCTTTGCAAGTAGCTTGTCTGCTTGCTCACAGCATGCACATTTTTTATAAGGAACACCTGTGCCTTTCTGAATACCAAAGAAATCCGTCGGCAGACTCAGCAAGGGGTAGTCTGAGTTCAAAGCTAGATCATTAGAGCTGCAGGATGGTCGCCTACACAGCTCGCAGCTCAAGGGAAGAAACCCACGACTGTCATTAGGCATTTAGGAAATTCAGTGTTACTATTTAGTTGGTTTTATTTGCATGTTTACATGGGATGGTGAAGGCATCGCTGCTGCATACAGAACATTTGCTGGCTGAGGTAGTAATGGTTCTGTGTCACCATATTGCTGATTGAATGCTTTCAAAGTATCATCAGCATGCTGATAATAATAAAGTCATGGTGATCCAGCCACTGCCTTTCATGCCAAAGTTTAAACCAAGTTCATCTTATATTACGAAACAACGGAGTTAAAGCTGCCAGGACTCAAATGATGTATGAATCTTAGCTATTGGTGCACTAACTCTTATCTTGAAATCTGACATAGAAACATTTTGTTTTTGCTGAGAGGAGTAGCTGTCTTGGTCTATCCAGTGATTAGGCAAACTTTAGAGTGGTGGTGTCCAGTTCTTGTCCTGCTGCATGTTTTATGTGTTTCCCTGCTCAGTGTACCCAAATGAATGTTTAGATGACCTCTTCATCATCTCGTTGGCTACACAAACACCTGCTAATCTCCCATGTGTTCAAACCAAATGTGAAAATCTCAACCATGCAGGACAATGGTCGCTGGGCCAGAGTTGATTACTGTCTGTTCAGCTGCTAATGGGATGCACTGCTATGGAAAACAGAACTGACTCCGGGAGGAAGGTTTTCAGCAGTGTGTAGTCTTCAAAATGTGTGGCGTGAGTGACTCTCGGCTACATGCCAAAGTATATCTCAGCATTTACAAAAATGTGTGGAGTTATCAGGTTTTGTGCCTGCTAATGTAGCCCAGTAGTGGCCATCTTGACCTAAAAAGGTTAATTGATTTACATCCAATGATTATTTTATGGGAGCTTTATTCAAATTACAAGTTAATTAACAGATGACAGAGGCAAAGGCTGTCAGAAATCGCGCCTGTGGTTTTAAGAAATCCATCACAGGGTTACATGATCTTGTATTTTGTGTGCCTGAAGCTCTTTTACAGCTGCATGTTTTGTTGCTAACGCTGAAGGCTTCAGGGGAACAGGCAGCTGGAAGGATCCAAGACTTCCCTGTATCATATTTAACTTTAAAACACAGCAAGTGCAACGTGATCAGAAATCAGACTCCTGTTTCCAGATGAGTTAAAGAAACAGACTCTGCAAGCCTGCAGGACGATGCGTTTCTAAACTGCTGCGCAATCCATAGAAATGATAGACTTTCCAGCCAGGCTGCACAAAATCATCAGGATTCATCGGGAATGATGCAGGTGGTTTACTTCTTGAAACATCGAACATTGTTTATAAAACATCTTTTCCTGGTCGGCTTAAGTATTTAGTCCCCGGCGCAACACCTGCTGGAGAAGAAATCCCACCCAACCGGATTCTACCCAACTCCGCACTCACCCCGATGAGGCAATTCACTGCCAATCAGTTATGCTTTGATGCGTAATTTGTGGTTATTTGTTCAACGTTCTCATTTGAATTTCTCTCCAAGCTCATTTAACCCATAAGACAGGTGCACATCGTTTGCCTCCTCAATTCACTTTAAAATAATCTCTCATCTCCAAATTACGCGCACAGAACACGTCCAGGATGAAGATGACAGCAGGATAAAAAGCAAAGGAATTCGCGACTGAAATAGTGAATCCGGCCTTGCGGGTTAAAACCCGATCATCTACAAGAAGCGCATGTTAACGGACTCACCCTTTGCTGCTATTTCCACTTTGGAGAACGCGTCTTCACCAGAGAGCGCCGCGGAACAAGTGGGAAAAACCCCAAAGCTCCTCCTTCCAGCCCCTAGGAGCGCATCTTGAGTCTGGTCCAGATGTGAGCGCCCACAGCTGTGCCAAGCACCCGGAGATCTGCGCAACCACTGCGCCATGTGGACTCGATCCTGTTTTAATGGAGGAATTATTATATGCATTACCCCGACATTAAATATTATAAAAACAACACCAATAATAATAAAAAAGCCGGCGCAGACTGATGTCACAACGTTTATTACGTTTGTAATTTATGCATCATCCATTCTAATCCCCGTAGAGTCTCCTACCTCCCCTATCGTCTCATAGATGAACTTTGGAACAATTGTGGGTTGTAAAACCAACAAGCTTCATGTTGTTTTACTTGACCGGACCATCACTTCTCTAATCTGGAGTCAAATGAGCTATTCTACCCTGATAGATTTTGTTTATTTGGCAGAAATGATCTAAAACTCCGGTCACATCAGAAAACAGAACCAAACAAAGAAAAACGGATTAAAACAGACATCTTTCTGAAAGAAAGAAAGAAAGAAAGAAAGAAAGAAAGAAAGAAAGATTGCCTAAATTAAGAATCATCATCTGTTACGTGGACATCTACATCATGGTCTTTTAGGCCATAAAAATAACTTGTATCGGAAAAATAAAAAAGTGCTTTTCTGACCTTTTTTTTTTGTAAAATACGTGTTTTCTCGCGAGAGCACAAGCGAGATTTCCGTTGCGCAGGATGGACATTACTATGGCCCAATCCCAATACTCGCACTTGTGTAACGCGTGCCGGCGAATGGAGCGGAGATGAAGTGAGGATCCAATGCGGGTGAGGAAACCAGGCAGACAGGTAGGAATTATTAACATGAGCTTTAATGAGAAACACGCATGACAATGAAACAATGGACCGACACAAGACACAGAACAGAAGGGCTTAAAAACACAAAGGCAGGGTGTCAGAGCCCAAGCCCCCGGATCGGCCCCTCCCAGCTAACCGGCCTCCATCTTGGACCACATTTCCCAGCATGCTTCTCGTGGGAACTCCCGGCATTCTCCCCGTCACTCCCAAGTCTATATATGGAAGACGCAGCACCGGCTTTTCACTCAGTCATCATTTCTTCGAAATCCATGAACAGAGTTCTCTACAGAATAATCCAGCCTTCTAATATCCCAACCAAGCTCAACACCCGTACCCAGTCGACCTTCGAGACAGGATGACTGAGTCCGTATCCAGCAGAGTTCGAGCGCCTGAAAATAAGGATGGAGCAAAAGGAGAATGAATTCATTCAGCTCCACGCCCTGATCGATCGGCTCAACACTAAACAAAACTCCCAGACCGATCTCCTCCTGCAATTATCCACAGCCCTCCATGCTCTCCAGCAGCAAGCCCTCACTCCACCAACAGAGGGGCCGCACTTCAGTCTCCCGGAGAGGTGGAATGGAGAGACGGGGAGCCCAGACGGTCTGCTCGCCACCCTCGACATGCAGTTTGAGTGCCAACCAGGATGCTTCCCCTCTGCTCGCTCTCGGGTGGCGCATCTCACCTCCCTGCTCTCCGGACGTGCGGCTGAGTGGGCCGCTGCGCTTTATAATTCTAATTCACCTGCTTGCAATGACTATGCTGCATTTGTGTCCGCCCTCAGAATGACTTTTGTTCCACCCAGCAGTGAAGTGGGAGCAGAAGCACAACTCCTAAAGCTCCGCCAGCGGGAGCGCTCGGTGTGCGCTTATGCGTCGGAATTCCGGACCATCTCCGCCAAGCTGCGGTGGGATGACTCTGCCCTTCGAGCCGTCTTCTTGGAGGGACTGGCGACCTACATCCGTGACGAGATGGCGGAAAAGGAACTGCCCCAGACCCTGGATGAAGCGGTCGATCTGGCGCTGCGCATCGATCAGCGGGTTCTGGTTCGGCCCAAACCCTTCACTTGCTCATCCAGGGCGCCTGGACCTCTTCCTCATTCCCCCACGCCTGCTCCCGGACCCGCTTCTACTGATGAGCCCATGCAATTAGGCCACCTTCCTCCAGAGGAAAGACAGCGACGATGGCGCGAGGGTCTCTGCCTATTGTGGCTCCTCCGACCACAGACGCCTGAACTGTCCATTACGTTTGGGAAACCAAGGAACCCACTGAGTATCGGGGTCGCTCAGCCTGGGTCACCTTCAGCCCCTGCCTCTTCAAATCAACTCCTTCTTCATGTTACCCTCCTTCATGGTGAGACCTCACTTCAGATGCACGCGCTGGTGGACTCGGGGACCGCTCACAATTTCATGGACATGGATCTGGCTTAGCGCCTACGGATCCCCCTGACCCCCTTGGAAAGAGTTGTGCCAGTGACCGTGGTGGACGGTAGGCCCCTCCAGCCCTATCCTGTCCAAAACCGAACCCAACCACTCCAGATGATCGTCCAAGGCCACAGAGAGACCCTCCAGTTCCTGATCATATGTGCTCCCTCCTCTCCTCTAATCCTGGGATTTCCCTGGCTCCGTCTCCATGACCCCCGGATTTCCTGGTCCCAGGGCCGCCTTTTGGAATGGGGGACCCAGTGCCAGGCCCACCTCTCTCCTCCTCCATCCATGCCAGACCGCCCGGACGGTGACCCCGGCCCAACACCGCCCAGTCTGCCACTGCCCTATCGGGACCTGGCTGCAGTGTTCGACAAGCGGCGCGCCACCACGCTGCCGCCTCACCGCCCATACGACATGGAGATCAAGCTGCAACCAGGAACCAGTCCACCCCGGGGGCGCCTTTTTTCTCTCTCTCCCGCCGAGTCCAGAGCCATGGAGGAATATATCGACCAGGCCCTCCAGCAGGGTTTCATCCGACCCTCCTCCTCCCCGGTAGGGATGGGTATCGATTAGGTTTTATCCGATACCGGTGCCAAACCGGTACTTTTGAAATGGTACCGGTGCTCAAACGGTGCCGGAACCGGTGCTTAAAGAATGTAAAAATACACAAGTTTTCCAAAAACCTCTTATTTTATTTTTTGATATTTTTTTGCAAAAAAATCACCATGTTAGCTTTTTCTGGCAATATTCGGCATCGCTCTTGGCTGATGGCATGCCCAGCGCAAGAGAAAACACGTTCAGAAGGTGTTGATGAGGCTGGGATACACAAGTATGTATTGGATAGGGCAGATAAGTTGGGCAGTGTATCCCTCTTACTCCACCACCAGGCCACAGGGTCTTGTCCAGAGGGAATTCTTGGCAGTCTTTTGTATGTGTCAAGTTCCTTTTGTACCTGCTCTGTGATGGAAGGGACTCTACCCGCTGTATGAGAGGCTGCATCCTCCTTAAGTTGTCTGTCCTCATCCTCAAACAGCTTTTCCAAGGCTGACTTTTGGACCGTTCTTGGCTGGAAAACAAAAATAAGTAGTGTGAGATTGTCAAAACAACAAAGATCCCTTTTAGAATGTAGGACTACATGGTTGGGTTAGAAAAACTCAGAAATTACATATTTTTCTGGCTTCATCTCAAGAAGCCTGCGGCACCCGGGGAGGTGCCGCAGGCTTCTTCTTTGTGAGGAAAAAGGAGGGTGATCTCCGCCCCTGTATTGATTACCGAGGACTGAACAAAATCACAGTCAAAGACCGCCATCCTCTGTCGCTCCTCACGTCTGCTCTGGACGCCATCTCCCAGGCGCGGATCTTCACCAAACTGGACCTCCGGAGCGCCTACAATCTGGTCCGTATTAAAGCTGGAGATGAGTGGAAGACCGCGTTCATCACAACCACCGGTCATTGGGAGTACCAGGTCATGCCCTTCGGGCTGTGCAATAGCCCCGCCGTTTTTAACGCCTCATAAACGATGTCCTCTCCGACATGTTGGTACGGTGGGTGTTTGCCTACCTGGATGACATCCTGATCTACTCCAAGTCCGAGGCCGAACACCTCCACCATGTTTGCGCTGTTCTAACCCGGCTCCTGGACAATAACCTGTTCTGTAAGCCCGAGAAGTGCTCTTTCCACCAGCGGTCCGTATCATTCCTGGGCTACATGATTTCGGATCAAGGACTAACCATGGACCCCCAGAAAGTCCAGGCGGTGAGAGACTTGTCCCTCCCAACAAGCCTGAAACAACTGCAGAGTTTTCTGGGTTTCTGCAACTTTTACCGCTGTTTTATTAAGGACTTTAGCACCATTGTGGCACCTCTCACTTCTCTCACCTGACCAAGCCCTCCCGGCCAACCGTTCCGTTTAACTCCAGACGCCGTTCGGGCCTTCCAATACCTAGTCGCCCATTTCACATCGGCTCCTATCCTCCGCCATCCGGATCATGCAGTCCCCTTTGTGGTTGAGGTCGACGCCTCGGATGTCAGTGCCGGTGCCATCTTGTCCCAAGTTGGGCCCGACGACAGACTTATTCCCTACGTCCCCACGGCCTGTCACAGCGAGGCATTGTCCTGGGCCCACTCATCACGCCTGTCTGGCCACGCGGGCTTCTCACGAACTCTTAGGTTCCTCAAACGAGCTCTCTGGTGGCCATGTATGGAGAGGGATGTGAAGGACTATACAAGCGCCTGTGACGTCTGCGCCCGCTCCAAGACATCCAACCAGGCCTCGGTTGGTACCCTCAGACCTCTTCCAGTACCCAGCCGCCCCTGGTCCCTGTCACGGTGTAGGAGGTGGAGACGGCGGACCATGTGTGGATGAGCTGAGCAGGAGGAAAAAATGCAGGCTTCAGAAAAAGTAAAAATGGTTTAATGGCAGGATGGGATGAACAGGAACACCAGCAGACAGCAACAATGAACTGACAAAGGACAGGGGCAAAACAGGTGGTTTAAATACAGAGGGCTAATTAGGGAAACATGCAGTAGCGGTTTTAGGCACGGGCAGACAGGGTAGTTGCCCGGGGCGGCATTTTTTCATGACACAAAAGGGGCGCACAAGCGCTGAGTAAAAAAAAAAAAAAAAGGAAATCTGCGCCACACCGAGGTTTTCTATTATCTGTCATATGACAGTGTCTGGATTGGAAACTGCAAGTTGGCGCCCCCTGCAGCTGCAGGCGCTCCGTGCACCGTGTGTGTATGAAGAAGAGGAAGGGGAGGGGTGCGGCGGGGGAATTCACCTCTGGGTAGGTCCAAATGAAATGAGCGTGCAGGGGCTGAATCAACTGTATCAACATGGCTAAAGTCGATCACATCTTGATGTTCTTCCA